TTGTATTCCATTGAAATTGTTGTGAGCTGCTGCGGTTAGGTGTCTACCCGAGCAGCCATCTTGGATCCTCTGCACATTTAAAGTAATTCTTGATAGGGATGTACTTATTGCCATTTGTTATTGTTGATATTTGTTTGTTGTTGTTATTCTTTACTTGTCTTGATCTCTTTCCTTTTGGTTTGCTGGTTTTCTCTAGTGTTTTGTTTGGGTCTTTTGCTCTTTATTCTGTATTTTTTGTGTGTTGTTGTTTTTGGTTTTTTGTTTGTTTTTATTTGTGGTTACCATGAGGTTCATATATACCAATCTGTATCTATAGCAATTTATTTATTTATTTATTTATTTATTTATTTATTTATTTATTTATTATTTTTACTCTTTATTAAAGTACTAGATGCCCTTGCTAGAAGATTGCTGCAATAGGGCTTCCTGCTGCAGTTACTGCCCTGTCTGCTTGCCTCCCTTCTCCCCCACCCTGCCTGTTTTCTTCCTTTCTCCACCAGCCTGCCTGCTTTCCTCCCTCCTCCCCAACAGTCTGCTTCCTTTCCTTCTCCCCTGCCCCACTTGCTTGCTTCTCCACAGTACTTGGCTTCTGTCTATGGACTTCAGTCTTCCCTCTGGCCTGGATATGCAAATTAACCGCCATCTTGGTTGGGTTAATTTGCATACTTGCCCTGATTGACTGGTGGGTGGGGTTTGTGGGCGTAGCAAAGGTGCAGTCAATTTGCATGTTTCTCTTTTATTAGGTAAGATTGTGTAAGTCTCCTTTTTTCCTCATTGACCTCTCCCCAGTCACTCCCACTCCCTATAGCAGTCTATTTTAACTTGATAGGTGTTTAAGTAAAAGCACCTTCTTTGAATTTTAATGATGAGTTTTGTCCACTTATATTTCTTTTCTTTTGTTTAATTTATATTTTTATTGACTTGAGAGAGAGGGGAAAAAAACATCAATTTGTTGTTTCACTTATTTATGCATTCATTGGTTAATTCTTTTTTATTTTATTGATTTCAGAAAGGGAGGGAGTGGGGGGGGGGAGAGAGAAACATCAGTGATCAGAGAGAAATCATTGATTGGCTGCCTCCTGCACACCTTACATTGGGGATTGAACCCACAACCCGGGCATGTGTCCTGGCTGGGAATTGAACTGTGACACTCAACCACTGAACCACGCCAGTTGGGCCCATTGGTTAATTTTTTTTTTTATGCTAAATTTTTTTTATTAAATTATTATCTTTGTACATATACCACTGCCCACCCCTTCCCATATATGCCTTCCCTCCTCAGAGTTTTGTGTCCATTGGTTGTACTTATATGCATGTATATAAGTCCTTCGGTTGATTTATTATCTCCCCCAGATCTCCCTATCCTCCCCGCTGCAATTTGACAGTCTGCTTGTTGCTTTACTGTCTCTGTATCTATCTTTTGGTTCTTCAGTTTATAATGTTCTTTATCATCCATAAATAAGTGAGGTCATGTGGTGTTTCTCTTTCATTGACTGGCTTGTTTCACTCAGCATGATGTTCTCCAATTCCATCAGGTTGCTGCAAATGATGAGAATTTCTTATTTTTTATGGCAGCATAGTATTCCATTGTGTAGATGTACCAAAGTTTTTTGATCCAGTCATCTGCTGACGGGCACCTAGGCTGTTTCCAGATTCTAGCTATTGTAAATTGTGCTGCTATGAACATAGGGGTGCATATATCCTTTCTGATTGGTGTTTCTAGCTTCTTGGGATATATTCCTAGGAGTGGGATTACTGGGTCAAATGGGAGTTCCATTTTCAATTTTTTGAGGAAACTCCACACAGTTCTCCACAGTGGTTGCACTAGTCTACATTCCCACCAGCAGTGCACAAGGGTTCCTTTTTCTCCGCAGCCTCGCCAACACTTGTCGTTTGTTGATTTGTTGATGTTGGCCATTCTGATAGGTGTGAGATGGTACCGCATTGTTGTTTTGATTTGCAACCATTGGTTAATTTTTGTATGTGCCCTGACTGGGAATCAAACATGCAACCTTGGCAAATCAGGATGATGCTCTAACCAACTGAGCTACTCAGCCAGGGCAAATAGGAAATACATTCTTAATCCAATTTTAAAAAAAGTTCTAAAAACAACAGCACTAAAGATGTCTGTCTAAATATGGACAAGTTTTTCTGTTTACTGAATTTGTCCCCTCATTTGGCATATTGGTTAACATTAGGGGAATTAAGCATATAACCAAAGACATAGTATAATCTACAGTTTTGATCAGAAGTTTTTTTATTTAATCTTCTCAACTACTTCAAGTATGAAGTATAGGTATTGTTTTCTTTTTCTTTTTTTAAATTGTTAATCTTCACCTGAGGATATTTTCATTTATTTTTAGGGAGAGTGGAAAAGAGAGGGAAAGACAGACAGAAACATCGATGTGAAGGAAACACATCGATTGGTTGCCTCCTGCACAAGCCCCAACCAGGGCCCAGGACAGGGAACCAAGGTACATGCCCTTGATCAAAATCGAACATGGGGACCCTGTGGTCCACAGGCCGATGCTGTATCCACTGAGTCAAACTGGCTAGGGTATATTGTTTTCTTTTTGTGGCTGAGAAACTTAAATAGCTTGGTAAAGTCTAACTAGAAAGTGGTGGAGCCAGAATTTAAAAATATACTTTGGCCAGATTCCATAGTATATCCTTTTTGCTATTCCCACGTTGCCCCTCCCCTAGGCGCTTTATAGGTTTTAAAAAGTGCTGATGATGTGATCCAGGTTTTCCAGTATGTAATTGATAATTGCTATTGTTTATTTAGCGAATGCCTTACTGTGTATTGAATGGTCACAAGGCACCATTTACCACTGAGGAGACCTTGCCCTGAATGGGTTTAGTGTTCTTTACATACTGTATAGTCAGTCTAATCCTCTGACGATCATGTGGGGTAGGTAGTGTTCCAAGGTTCAAAAGGTTAAGTGATTTGGCCATGGCCATGTACGGTAATTTTTACGTGGCTGAAGACATATTTCGAAGTGAAGATTTAAAGGCAGAACCGTTAAGTCTCATAGTTTGCACTTCCTCTGCTGTTATATGTAATTCATTCTCATTTAATAAACAAAACTGCTTAGTAATGAGAGTGTTTTAATCTTGTAAAACTTTGTTATATTTCAGATACCAAAAACAGTAATTTTTCTCTGTAATTGTCATGCCAGAATTAAGAAGATTAATTTTATTTACTGATGTCTGAATTCTCCATATTTTTTTCTTTGAAATAGATGATATTTTTTTCTCTAGGAGATGAGAATTCATCCTTATGTCTGTCTGATGAGGAATTCTTGTTGCTCTTTTCTTGTTTTGAAATGTTCTTCTATTGTTCAGCCTCTTGACATTTTGTTTCTCTTTCTTGAAGTTTAGTTTTCATTCTGGCTTTCTTCCTTTATTTCTACTCTCTACACATACCAGTCTACACCCTTTCTAAGAAGCACTGAGACACATGTCAGAAATTTTATTCTTCTATTTACAGCATGTAAAATTGTCATATGCTTGCTAGATTGGCAGAATCAGCATGTGACTATCTCAGATTATTAGGTCAGGCTTGATATTTTAAATCTCATGGAAGTTAAGATAAACTATTCTTTGTGACTTCTCCCAGGAAATTTACTTATGGTAGATTGTCTTGGTTTGTACACTCTGTTTCTGATCAGGTTGGTTAAAGTGACAAACATAATGAAGAAAAGGTTATCCTTAAGCTCATTGAATTAATTTTTGCTTATATCTAGGCTAATGTTTTCTGTTAGTACTCTGTTTCCCCAAAAATAAGACAGTGTCTTATATTAATTTTTGCTCCCAAAGATGCGCTAGGTCTTATTTTCAGGGGATGTCTTATTTTTCCATGAAGAATACGGTACACATTTATTGTTAAAGGAAAATAAAGAAAATTTATTACCTGTATACGGTACGGTAGTACGGTAGTTGTCAACACAAACCAGACAAACTGTGAATCCTGCAATATCAAGAATTTACTCATTTATTCAGTGACAATCATGTCGTCATCTTCTAGAACATCATCATAACAATCCAATTCTTGAATTTCCTGGTGAATTTCTTGTGACTCCTAGGGGGTCTTATTTTCTGGGGGATGCCTTATATTTCACTCAGAAGGAAACCTGTAAGTAGGTCTTATTTTCGGAGGATGTCTTATTTTCGGGGAAACACGGTATGTAATTAGATAGAACCCAGGGTGGCAGTGTTACACAGAAGTAAGAACGCTTCTGGTCTGAGTCCTGGGTCTACCACTTCTTAGCCGTATGATTTCAGGACATATCCTATAACCTGTTTAAGATATTGGTCCCTTGTTTGTAAAATGGGGGTGTAATACCAGTTTTACCAGTTGTTGTGAGAATTTAACATGGTAATGGGTATAAAGTGTAGAATATGAGACACGTTGTAAACAATAATGTCTATAGAAAGTGAGGCATCTGCTTTCTGTTACCTTGGAGACCACAGCAAAAATTAAAAAGTGCCGAAACCGGTTTGGTTCAGTGGATAGAACATCAGCCTGCGGACTGAAAGTTCCCGGGTTCAATTCTGGTCAAGGGCATGTGCCTTGGTTGCGGGCACATTCCCAGTAGGGGGAGTGCAAGAGGCAGCTGACCGATGACTCTCTCTCATCGATGTTTCTAACTCTCTATCCCTCTCCTTTCCTCTCTGTAAAAAAAATCAATAAAGTATATTTTTAAAAAAATTTTTTAAAGAAAAATACACAAAGCAACCGAAACACTAAAAAAATCTTGTGAATTTAGGAAGATTTAAAAAAAATTAAATACAGACATAGAGGGAAGGAATGGTATGTATGCCAAAATTGTTCAGCACTCTTCAACTGCCTTCTTATGCCAGGTACTAAATTGGTTATTAAGAATACAAAGTGAAAAAAAATTATGGCCCATTCTCAGAGAGCTGATTCTTTAGTAAATAAATATGGAAACCAATAATGTGTTTATTAAGGTTATATTGTCAATTTTATGTTTCTCTAGGCTGCCAAACTTTTTGATGAAGAAGGAAGAAAAAAATTCTTTACACAGGATATGAATAATATTCTTCTGGAGTAAGTATTTTCTTCTTTGATTAAAATCCTTAAAAATTATTTAAACCTTAAGAATTTATTTAAAGTATAGTTGCCTGCCCTGGCCAGTGTGGCTCAGTTAGTCATTATCCAGTGAACCAAAAGGTCACTGGTTTGATTCCTGTCAGGGCAGATACCCAGGTTGCAAGCTCAATCCCGGTCATGCATGGAGGAGTGGAGTCGGCGGTAGGTGCAGCTGATCTATGTTTCTCTCTCTTCCTCTCCTCTTTCCCTTCTCTCTCTAAAATTAATAAAACATATTTTTAAAAATAAAAGGTTTATAGTAGGCTTTTGAAATGCAAATACTGAGTGCCTGGCTAGTCTCATACATTAGCTCTTCCCTTACAGCCTCCCAATATGTATGATGAACATTTGTTTCTCAGCAAAATTATGCTTCTGCATGTATTGGTCCCCTTGGACCCCTATGATAATCAAAGCTTCCAATATTATAACTGCCAGAGCAAGTGACCACTGTACAGGTTGAAAAGTACTGTAGGCTTATATGTATACTAGAGACCTTGTGCATGAAATTCATGCACGGGGGGCAGGAGTGGTTTTCTCTGCCCAGCCTGCACCCTCTCCAGTACTGGACCCCAGATCCCAGGGATCTGGCCTAAACCAGCAGTTAGACTTCCCTGTCATAATCTGGGACCACTGACTCCTAACAGCTCACTTACCTGCCTGTCTGATCGCCCCTAACTGCTCCCCCTGCCACCCTATCACCTCTAACCACCTCTGCCTGTTAGCTTGGTCACCCCCAACTGCCTCTCTCTGTTGGCCTGGTTGCCCCTAACTGCCCCTCTCCAGCTGGCCTGGTCACCCCTTACTGACCCCCTGGTCACCCCAAACTGCCCCCCTTGCCGGCCTGATCGTCCCACACAGCTTGTTGTCCAGTCATTTGGTCATCCCTCACTAACCCCCCTGCTGGCCTAGTCACCCCACAACCTGCTGTTCTGCCATTACTCTTACTCTGATAATTTGCATATTCCTCTATTATTAGTATACATTTAATCAACTTATATATGAAAACATTCTGTGATAGCTCTGTTTATATTAAATTTGGTATAATTTTCTATCTACTTTTCAGACTTTGGTAAAATACATTATGAACTCTTAAAGCCAAGTGGAAAGAATATTTTAATTAAGAAATCATGATTGTGGGATAGATTGAGTCCTCTATGGAAAAAATAAAAATTAGATTTAGAAGGAGAGGGTGAAGGCTGATATATGATATAGATTATATTTAAAGTAGTAATAATTTGCTGAAACTGGTTTGGCTCAGTGGATAGAGCGTCGGCCTGCGGACTGAAAGGTCCTGGGTTTGATTCCGGTCAAGGGCATATACCTTGGTTGCAGGCACATCCCCAGTTGGGGCTGTGCAAGAGGCAGCTGATCAATGATTCTCTCTCTCATCGATGTTTCTAACTCTCTATCCCTCTCTCTTGCTTTCTGTAAAAAGTCAAAATATATTTAAAAAGATAAAAATAAATAAATAAAGTAGTAATAATTTTCATACTCACAGTTTAATACTAATAAAGCTGCAGATTCTAATATTGTGATCTCATAAAATATATTTGATCTCTTAAAATAAACCTACTAGTAACCTGATGCATGAAATTTATGCATATTAAAAGGGAATTAGAGGAAATATTTTAATATTGCCATTTGCCCTTTCTCTATAATAGAGGTGTCAGAGATGAAAGAAAATTAGTAAAATGTATATGAAAATCTTCCTCCTTGACCCAGAGTCAAGTCCTTGCCCACTCATGCGCACCTTGAAATCACGTGAAACCCAGCCCCAGCCAGCCCCATCCCCATTGGGTAAGATCCAGACCCAGCTGGCCCCACCCCCATCAAGCCCCACCAGGTGGGAGGCACAGCCTCAGATCCCCCATCAAGCTCCATTGGGCGAGGAGTACAGCCTCGGGTCCCCCGGTACGGACCAGGCTGAGAGCATATCCTCAGGTCCCCCAGCCTGGCACTGGGGCAGGGGGTGTGGCCTGAGGTTCCCCAGGCCAGCACCAGGATGGGGTTGCACCCTGAGGTCCGCAGCCAGGTGCCACAGCGGGAGGGCGTGGCCTGGGGTCCCCCCACCTGGCAGCAGGGCAGTGAGCTCACCTTGAGATCCCCCATCAAGTCCCGCTGGGTGGGGGCACAGCCTCAGGTCTCCCGCCCTGCCCAGCTCAGCACAGCCTCAGGTCCCTGCTGATCGCTCATTATGGAACCCCAGCATCCGCTGTGGGTGCAACCATCTTGTGACTATGTGACATTTAATTTGCATATTACCTCTATTATTTAGGATTGGCTTATAAATTTTGACTATTGGGAATTGGATATATAATTTACTGCAAGCAGAACTGCACCAAAAATAAAAAATGTAATTCTGGGGAAAGCAGCAAAATTTACTTTTTTTTATTTTATTGTTTGAAGGATTACAATAGTAGTACATATGTCTCCTTTTTTCCCCCCTTGACCTCTCCCCATTTCCCCTTACCCCCCACATAGGCCTTCACCTTCCCCCCTCTCCCCCATGTCTTGTATCCATTGGTTATGTTTATCAATATATGAATGCATACAAGTCCTTTGGTTGGTCTCTTACAGCCCCCTCCGCCCCCTTGCCTTCTCGCTATAGTTTGACAGTCTGTTCAATGGTTAAAATTTACTTTACTGTGGAAAATAATGTGTTTGTGGTTCAGTAGCATGATACAGAAAGAAATAAAACCAATGTTTCTAATACTGTGATTTCTCTTTTAAATATATAATGAAGATAGTTTCCCAAGATATAAAGGTTGGATTGGTTTGTTGGTTCTGATAACCATTTTAATTAATTGCATTCTCTTACGCTGTAGTACTAAAACTGTTTTAAGTCCTATGGACTTCACGAAACATACAACCTAGTATGCTACTTCTAATATGGTGAAATTTTGTTCCTATTCTTTATTTAATCCAGGGCTTTTCAAGTTGTTTCTGTTTGCCTGAGAGCAAGGCAAATGCTTCCTGTTGGCACCAGCTCCTTTTACCTAGCTCCCTTAAAACCCCAGATTCAATAAACAATATAACATTTCTCATCAGAGCTGTCTCAGATTCTATTATCAGGATCTGCCTGAGCTCTTCTTTTTCTTTCCATTTGAAAGCCCTAAGTTTACTAGATCAGGTCCTTTTCCTAAGATGGAGACAATTTTTTTATTTATTTTACTTTTCTGTAAGCAGGAATAGCTACTAGTATATCTCCCCTGAGAGAATCAAAAGACCATCCTTGGGAAATAACATCTCAAATAAGCAGAATAGCAGCATTCTATTAACTGGCTTCTCTGCCAGTTCTTCTCATATCCTAAAATAAATCCTCCAGTTATTTTGGAGCCTACCTAGTTAATTTTTTAAAAATTTATTAATTTTGAGAGAGACAGAGACAGACAGACACACGTTGATTGTTGTTCTACCCATTCAAGCACTCATTGGTTGATTCTTGTATGTGCCCTAACCAGGGACGGAACCTGCAACCATGGTGTATTGGGATGGTGCTCCAAACAAATGAGCTACTGGGCTAGGGCCTGTCTATTTTTTATTCCATAGAAAGTTTTGGCTCAGTGAATAGAGCGTTGGCTTTTGGACTGAAGGATCCCAGGTTTGATTCTGGTCAAGGCACATGCCTGGGTTGTGGGCTCGATCCCCAGAGGAGGATGTGCAGGAGGCAGCCAATCAATGATTCTCTCTCATTATTGATGTTTCTATCTCTCTACCTCTTCCTTCCTCTCTGAAATAAATTTAAAAAAGAAAGTGTGCCTCCAATTCTACAAGCTGTAGTGTTTAGCTGAATCTTTTTTTCTTTTAGTCACTTTATTATACCACCCTGGCCCTTTTTTCCCCTTTCCTGACCCAACATCCCTTATTTCTCTGGACTGAGTTGATCTTCTAAGGACATATGGTAGATGATTATTTGGTGTAGTTATTACCATGAAGGTATTTAGGTGTATTGGCTCTGCCTCACCATTGCTTCCTTATTCTGGAGATATAAAGAGACAAGTTTTTTGGAATAGAGTACCCTTTTACTTTTAACCTAATGAATTTGACCTGGATCACCAAATATACAGCATGTTGGCTTGATTTCATTCTTTATTTCCTCCTTTACTTCAAGCTGACATTGCTAATAAAATCTTGATGCTTTGCCTATTATTCCAATTCAGCCAGACAATTCTGCTCAACAAATGCTTTAGGCAAGTACTACTAATCCTATTGGATATTTATCATTGAGATCTGTCTTCCTTCATTATTAGGTGCTCCTTTATTAAAAAAATGGCTAATAGCCGAAACCGGTTTGGCTCAGTAGATAGAGCATCGGCCTGGGACTGAAAGGTCCCGGGTTCAATTCTGGTCAAGGGCATGTACCTTGATTGTGGGCACATCCCCAGTGTGGGGGGGTGCAGGAGGCAGCTAATCAATGATTCTCTCTCATCGATGTTTCTGACTCTCTATCCTTCTCTCTTCCTCTCTGGAAAAAAAATATCAATAAAATATATTTTAAAATAAATACGGTAAGTAAAATAAAAATAAAAAATGGCTAATATGCAAATTGTTCCCTTGACTGGAAGTTTCACTAGGAGAGGCCAACTGCCCGCAGCCTCCTCCCCAGCTGGCCAAGCCTATCCCTGATTGGGGACAGGGCCAGCCTGCCCTGCCTGAGGCCCCTTCCCCTGACCAGCCCATCCCAATCGGCCCAATCAGGGCAGGCCAGATGAACCCCACTCATGCACAAATTCATGCACTGGCCTCTAGTGTCAATATAAATGGGCTTACCAATTGGTCTGCCTATCTGTCTGTTTTTCTTTCTTTGAAATGAAGGTTAGCAAAGTGTAAGGGTTGATTACAAGCCACAGCTTTTCCTTACTCTCTGGAGGGGCTGCTTTGCAATTGGAGGAATCCCAAACAATATTTCAAACCTATTTCTAACCTGTTTCATACCAACTCTTCTTTGGGTAACCCTAGAACTAGCCCATCTGAATTAAGCAGTTATTTAGGGACAGAAGGGATGAACACACATCTTGTCTACTATTAGTTATCACATCAACAGACTTTAGAATTCTTGCTTTAAGGTAAAGTGATTTTCAATTTGGGTTATTGTTCTTTAAGCTTTCTTCAGTTAGTAGTTTTCTGTGGTTGTATTATTTGAACAATATTGATAGGATATCTGGAATACTCGAGGAAACTCCAGGAAATTCAGTAGATTCCAGAATTCATTTGGACTGAGTTTTTATTTTATTAGTGTTTTAAATTTATTAAGAACGATTTTTGAACCGAAACCTGTTTGGCTCAGTGGATAGAGCGTCAGCCTGCAGACTGAAAGGTCCCAGGTTCGATTCCGGTCCGGGGCATGTACGTTGGTTGCGGGCACATCTCCAGTATGGGGTTGCAAGAGGCAGCTGGTTGATGTTTCTCTCTCATCGACGTTTCTAGCTCTCTATCTCTCTCCCTTCCTCTCTGTAAAAAATCAATAAAATATATATTTTTAAAAAACAAAATTATTTTTGAGAAAGAAGAAGTTGACATGGTAGGAAGATGTGCCATTTATCACCTTTGGGAAAATGAATGTATTTCTAGAATTCTGTGTAGAAAGGATGATGCCATAGTCCTTATCACTAAATATTCCTCAGTAGAAGGATCTTGTTTATAAAGATGGCTGTTGCTTCCACTACAGATTTTCATGTTTCATTTCTTTTAAACTTCTCCAGAGACAAAGGAGAGCTTTGTGTAGACAGGGATATAAAAGTGAGTTTCCAGCCTATTTACTCAACAGAACCCAATGTTTGTTCTCTAGTGCATTTAATAACAGATGGTCCCAGTATATTTTCATTCATTTGGAGCCTGTAGTGATCTTATGCTCCTAATTTATTATCAGGTTCAAGGCCCATTATTAGTAACTTTCATGCATAGAAATCTGCCTTTGGATAGATTTCACTTAAAGAAGGAAAAGGAGCCTGGTAGAAAGCAGGAGGCAGGGCTCAAGGAAGTTCACCACTTCAAGAGAACTTTGTTTCTCTGGGAAAATAACTGAAATTCACACTTTGGGTGCCACGTGTTTTTAGTTGCTTCTAGCTACTTATGGAGACTTAGAAGATTGGAATTCTTAGGGAAAAAATATTAAAGTGGATCTGTGAAAGATGTGTATTTAAATACACTGCTTAAGAATGGGGGTACATTTTGAGAAATGCATTGTTAAATGATTTTATTGTGCAAACCGGCTATTAAATACCTAGTTTGTAATGCAGGCACAATAAAGTAAACGAAGATGGATGAAACAGTCTGTATGTGCACCCAGAAAAGTTTTACCTCTTTTGAATCTGAAATTTTCAAACAACTAAGGAAAAAGTACTCAGAACTCATATGTGACTCACTAGTATAGTAATTGCAGGTGTGAAGGGAGTATGATATCTTCTTGAGGAAATGAACTTCTGGTAAATAATGGAGTTCCTGTGCTTTCTTTACCCAAAAATATAGACTTTGTTGCAGCCATGAAAAATATTATTTGCAAGCTTGTTTGAGATTATATAAGTTCTCTGATAAGCATCGAAATTTTCTATAGCATCACTTTATTAATTTCTTTTTCTTAAAAAATACAATATAGAAAATCATGGAAATGTCAAATGAGAAAATAAATACTTCTTTTGCCTCCTCACTTGTCTGTTGCTACCTGAAAGAAATTCTTTACTATTTACTTGTTGTTGTTTTCGGTCAGCATTGAGTTACAGCTGCAGGAACTAGGCCCTGTCATTCGAAGTGGTGTCTACTCCCATCTTGAAGCTTTTGTGCCATGCAATAAAGAAACACTGGTAAAACGTCTAAAGAAGTTACATCTTAACGTCCAGGTAAGGGGAGAAACAGTGATACCTACATGGGGAGTTTTATCACCTGTACAGAGGCTGGTTTCTTGTGCGGGTTTTTGCATATTATTGCTTTATAGTCACGTTGTATGAATATTAGTGGCACTTTGGATCCCCTGAAAAAAATTACTTTTCAATAATTGATAGGTTTAGGTGAGAAATATTTTCTAAAGCATAGATTCTTGGACTAGTAAATTAACCTATTTCACAGCTAGCACAACTTTGCCTTCAACAAATAAAATGACACATTTATAACTCAATTTTCTTATTCTGGAAATGAATTTCTATAGATATTATGCAGACCAATGGAAAGAATCACATGATTGCATGAATATTTAAAAATTAGTCTATTTTTAAAATTTTTATTTTATTGATTTTTTACAGAGAGGAGGGAAGAGGACTAGTTAGAAACATCGATGAGAGAGAAACATTGATCAGCTGCCTCCTGCACACCCTACTGGAGATGTGCCCACAACCAGGTTCAATACCGGTCAAGGTATATGCCCTTGACCGGTATTGAACCTGGGACCCTTTAGTCCGCAGGCCAATGCTCTATCCACTGAGACAAAATGGTTTCAGCTCTAGTCCATATTTTGCTAGATTCTCTTTGACTACAACCACACTAAGTGAATTCTCCCATGGTCAGAAACTTAATTCAATACTGGAGGCCTAGTGCACAGGATTCGTGCACTAGTGGGGACGTGGCCTCCGGGGATCGGCCACTGGGAGCGCCACTCATCACTGTGGGAGTGCACTGGCTACCAAGGGGCAACTCCTGAGTTGAGCATCTGCGCCCTGAGGGTCAGTGTGTATCATAGCGACTGATCAAGCAGTTGTCCTGCCATTTGGTCACTGGGCTTTTATTATCTACTAGAGCCCCAGTGCACGAAATTCGTGCACTTGGGGGTGGTTCCTCAGCCCAGCCAGCACCCTCTCAAATCTGGAATCCCTCTCACAATCCAGGGCTGCTGGCTCCTCATCACTCGCCTGCCTGCCTGCCTGATCACCCCCTAACCACTCCCCTGCCAGCCTGATTGACACCTAACTGTTCCCCTGCTGGCCCAATCACCCCTAATTGCCCTTCCCTACCAGCCTGGTCACCCCAACTGCTCTCCCCTGGATGCCATCTTGTGACAGTATGGGGGTCGCCATTTTATGGTAGTTATCTTGTGATGACATGATGGCATGAGGCTCAATTTGCATAACACCTCTATTATATAGAATAATAATAAAAGGATAATATGTTAATTAGACCGGACGTCATTCCAGACGCCCTTCCCGATGAAGCCGGGGCTGGAGGGAAGCCAGCCCAGACCCCAGGTGCCTGTGGGTGGCCCGAGAGAAGCAGCTCCGGTCGTGGGTGCCAGCAGGCAGCCAGAGGAGGGAAGCATCCTAGGTCCCTGGTGCCCGAGAGAAGCTGATGCCAGCAACTAGGGGAAGGAAGGCCTACTCTTCCATAAAATTTCGTTCATCAGGACTCATATAGGATACTATCAGAAAGTTCTTCCATGCTATGTGCCAAACCCAGGTGCTTTCTAACCTGTTGGTCCTAATTCTACCTTTGAATTCATACACAAATCTAATTATTTGTCCACTTCATTGCTTTCATGTTTTTGAAAGCTTTTATTATGTCTCCTTCTTCACCTCATATAAAAGGTTTTTCATACTTTCATGTTCTGATTTCTTATCACTTAATGATTTTTTTTGCCTCTATATTTAAAAAATATTTATAACTTATAAGTAATAAAAAATAACTTGAATGTAATTTAGGATAAAAAAGGACTTTTTTTTAAATGTATAAAGGTTTTTCATGGAATTAAGGACAAGAATGCAGTCAGGAAGGATGGGAATTGATCATTTGGATTAACTCTTTTTCTACCTCTCTCCCCACATCTCATCTTTCTCCCTTTATGTACAGATAAGATTACTTGATTCTCAAGGTTTAACATTACACAGAAAATCTACACACACAGACTGACTCAGCTCACTCATCCTAATCCAAATTCCTGGGTCAAAAAAAAAATTTTTTTTTTTAATAAAAAAAAGTTTTATAATATATCTGCACCTATGATAGTAATAAAAATCTATTTTAATAATTATATATATTGTTACTTGCAAGATGAAAATAATTTAATTGGTTAATTAAAGCTGTCAGATACAAATTTACTTGCTTTTTGCCCCTGAACCCATCTGAATAAGAGTTTCCCAATTTCCTTTTTCATTTTGGCCTTACTTTGCATTTTCGCTTGCAACATAAGTCACAATTACTAACAATAAATGAGAGAACAGGATGCCAGCCAACATCCTGTTGGTAGTCTTCCACACTGTATCATATGTTGCAGTTTCTCTCCTTTGTAGTACTTGTTCCCCATCATAATGAGATTACCCAGTAGTGCTCTGCAAAATGTAGATTTTGTTATCTATGTAATCATTTGTATTACGTTAAAGTATTCATGTAATTTGTTAGCCAAAGGTGAAGCATTTCTAACATAAAGTAGCATTTTTCTATATCTTATCTAATGAAAGTAATATGCAAATTGATCATATCCCCCACTATACCCACAAGCCACACCCACCAGCCAATCAGGAGTGAGTATGCAAATTAACTCAGCCAAGATGGCTACGGCCACAGAGGGAGCAGGAGGCTTGGGTTTCTCTGACAATGGAGGAAGCCAAACTTCCTGCACACCCTGGTCAGCCCTGTACTCCACTCAAGGCTACACAGTTTCAATTATAGATGATAAATAAATCCCAGATACCAGAGCCTCCACTTGGGTTGCCAGGGTACATGGCCAGCCTGCAAAGCACCACAGGCCCCTCACCCAGGCTGTCCACACCCCAAGGGAACCCCATCCTGATCCGTGACACTCTTCAAGGCAAACCAGCTGGCCCTCACCATGGACCAGACCTCTATCCTCCCTAATGAATAAAAGTAATATGCAAATTGACCATCGCTCCAAGACACAAGATGGCTGCCCCCATGTGGACATAAGATGGCCACCACAAGATGGCTATCAGAAGAGGGCAGTTGGGAGGGACCAGGTCTGCAAGGGAAGGCAGTTGTGGGCGATCAAGCCTGCAAGAGAGGGCAGTTAGGGGAGGCCAGTTAGGGGCAATTAGGCTGGCAGAGGTACAGTTAGGCATCAATCGAGCTGGCAACAGAGTGGTTAGGGCGTGATCAGGCTGGCAGGCAGAAGCAGTTAGGGGCAGTCAGGAAGGAAGGTATGCAGACAGGCAAGCAGTTGGGAGCCAGTAGTCCTGGATTGTGGGAGGGATGTCCATCTGCCCGTTTAGGCTGATCCCAGTAGGATCGGGCCTAAACAGGCAGACGGACACTCCTTGAGAGGTCCCAGATTGCAGAGGGTGCAGGCTGGGCTGAGGAACACACACACACACACACACACCCCATGCATGAATTTTGTGCACCGGGCCTCTAGTATATATATAAAAGCCTAAGTGACCAGTCAATAGCTATGATGCACACTGACCACCAGATGGCAGACATTCAACATAGGAGCTGCCGAACTGCAGTTACATGGCAGTTGAGGTTCTCGGGTAATGCACCTGGACCCAGAGAGGAGGGACCCCCAATTCCAGGGTGTGTCACTCAAGAACTGCCCTCTCACAATGTGGGACCTCTCTGGGGATGTTGGAGAGCTAGTTTTGGCCCAGCCACAGTACCCCACCCATGCACAAATCCATGCACCTGGCTTCTAGTTATTAATAATTACACTAGGGCAGTAGGCAAAACCTGAGATTCTCCTTGGCTACCTGGGAAGTATGGTCATACTAATTTTATATCCAGTGTGCACTATGAAAAGTCAGTGTTGTAAAACCAGTGTCCATACTTAAATATATAAACACTTCATATCTATAATTAATGTTTAAAAGCATAAATGTTAATCATTTGAGGATCTGCTTACAAATTGAGTTTTGTAAATATGTTTGAAAAACTTTGTTTCTCAGGATGATCGTTTAAGAGAACCTTTGCAAAAACTGAAACTGGCTGTTAGCAATGTCATGCCTCAACAGCTATTTAAATACCAGGAGGACTGCCTGGCTCGTGGTCAAGCTAAGTGTGCCAAGTATGTACTTACTCCATTTGAACTGGGTTTTGTTTGATAAATATTTACTTGTTAAGGGTTGGTGTTAAGTGGACTTTATCACCTAGTAGACGTCTACATTTACCTCCAAAATGGTATATTTGTGTCTTTGTACTATATGTGGGTATTATGGGTGGGTCTTTATCAAAATATTTAAAACTTACCTAATAAATATATTCTAAATGACACTTACTTCCCACTTAAATGCTTTGATTTCAAAGGGGAAAGGTCTGTTGATTTATTGTATGGGTGTGTTCAAAGCAAGAACTGACACTGGTCAGACATTTCACATGTTGACCAACTTGACTGTCTTAAGATTGGACAAAAATATATTCTGAACTAAAAAATAAGTATTTATGCCTTTATAGTATAGTTTGAAGACCTTATTTACCAAATGACTTTATAACCCCCAAATTAAATTCAAAGTATTATGTAGAAAGGTAGATTCCCTATTTACCTTGTCTTTTGAATTAACATCTAATTAAGCAGTTCAAGTTTCTAGCGAGTGTATTGCCATAAGCAATGTTGAATTAAAACTCTGCTTCATAAAATGTTTTATATTTTTAGGTTGCAAACAGATGAAGAACGAGATAAAAATGGATCCGAGGAAGATGATGATGAGAAACCAGGGAAACGTGTCATAGGACCAAGAAAGAAATTCCACTGGGATGACACCATTAGGTAAGGTGTAACCAAAGCCTTTACTTTTAACTAAATAGATAATGGAGATGTAAGGTTTTCATAAAAAGAATCTACAATAAGTCGAAGACTAGATTGGGAACAACCAAAGATAAGTATATAGAAAAAAAATTTATTCAAGAGAAGATTGACATGGTCCTAATATTTTTAGAATGCTGTCACTTATTTTTATATAATGTTTTTTTTTTTAAAGCTAATTAATTATCTAGTAACTCATGTACTGGTTTCAGAAGGTGAAGGACTCAATATACTTGCGTGGTCACCAGTCATCATGCTTATCAGCAGTTCGGTACCCCACGTAAAGGTTTAGTTGTAGGACTATCTCTTTCAGTATTTGGTGCCTAGATTAAAGGTATCAAAGGAAATTGTTTCATGTGGGGATTTGGCTATAGTGCAATGAATAATATATGATAGATATTACTTATCTTCATGACATCATCTGATTTATTCAGATAATAATTCTTTGCTATTGCTGTCAGGTTTATGTGCTTTTTTAAAAAATCTGTTTCAAGCTTAATTTTCTACAACTTTTCAGTCAGATTTATATATAAATATATATTTTTAATCTGTTTAGAACTTTGTTATGTAACCTTGTTGAGATCAAATTGGGATGCTATGAGTTAGAGCCAAATAAAAGCCAGTCTGCTGAGGATTATCTTAAATCCTTTATGGAGACAGAGGTGAAACCATTGTGGCCTAAGGGCTGGATGCAGGCAAGGTAAGAAATATGACATCCTAGATTTTATTTATCTACTTCCTTCTTATTGGCTGTTATTAACAATACATATATATATATGTACATATATATATATATACACACACACACACATACATGACATTCATTTTGTTAAGAACCTAATGTGTTTAAAATTCTGTATAATCATCTCAGATGATCTGTGCTTTGCAAACTTCAAGTTCTTAAAAGACTAAAGAATGAGTCACATGGACATAGAGATGTAGAATATATATAAAGGTGATTTTTTTTAACTGACCACTTTTACTTTTTCATATCTAAATTTTGTAGTAGTAAGGAGAAAGATGGTTTTCAACTTTGGAAGGGAAACTTTACATGGGTATTGTGAAGAAAAGAGACTGAATACAAGATTAGAGGCATAACCATAGGTTCTGTTGAAAGTATTCAATATAGAGTAGTATCTCAAAAACTAATTTACAGTTTAAAGAGTTAAGTATTAGACTTGGCTGTCTCAACCTGTCATCTGAAAGCATTCCATTTTAAATTAACAGAAAACATCTGTTGATCTGTTAAAGATTTAAGATAGAGGTAATATAAAATTCTGTGTAAGATTGATTATTGAATTTACTGATAACTTTTATTTGGTAAATAAGCAGTAATAGATTGTTGAAAATCAAATGATTAAAATGATAAAGTGATTATCATGTTATTTATCTACTATAAAAAATTAATTCTGTCCTTTAAATTTTCTAGAATGCTTTTTAAGGAAAGTCGGAGCGTGCATAATCATCTTACTTCTGCCCCGTGAGTAAATTCAAACTCTATTTTTATTCAAATCATGTGCTTTGGTAAACAGAAGTATCATTTATTGAATGCTCGTTGAAACCTGACTTAAACGTACATTTAGACAATCTCCATGTTACCACTGCCTCTTTTAAAAGGATCATTTTTTACCTTTGACTATATAGACCTCGAACACAATTATCTGTTGAACAGTTCTCTGGGTAGTTTCCAAAAACCTGAGTCCATAATGTTAACATGGATTGACCTGAGATCTGGTAGTAAGGAGCCATGTAAACAACAAGGCTCTGGTGGTTTCCTTTGTTCTTGAGAACCATAACGTACTGTAACCTGGGTCTGTGCCCTTTAGTTCTTTTGTGCCTTTTTCCTCCCCCTCTTAATGACTATCTACTTAGGTAACTCTACACCTTGTGCTTTCCAAGACAGTTCAGTATACATACCTACACTTCCTGGCCTTGCAGAGTGTTTTATTGCACAAAGTTAACCTACTCTTCATGTCCTTCCTTTTGTTCAAAACCAGGTATTTCCTTAGTGATGTGATTACTAAGGAAAGCTCTCTTATCCTCCTGACAGGCAGTAATAAAAAGGCATGGTTACATTTTTAATGACTACTTGTTAATTCAACAGAATTTTATTTTTATCTTCAACTTTGGGCTAATTCCCTATAGCCTAAAAGTGTAGTATAAAGGGGTTAATAAAGAATAAAATTTATACATGCATATAAGTACAACCAATGGACATAAAACTCTGGGGAGGGAGGGGGGCAAAAAAAAATCAATAAAATATATTTTTTTAAAAAAAGAATAAAATTTAGCAAGTTACGAGAATTTACTGAGCACTCTAATTCAGTATTCTACTGAGAGGTCTTGGTAACATCCTCTGGGAAATATTACAAAATTCCCTCTCTCCTTGTGTAAGTTACAATAGATGGAATTTTTTTGCAGCTGGTAGGAAGAACATCTTCTTAGTACACCATCAGAGATGTATTGAATTAGTTGTAGTTTTCAATTCTTACTTTTACTATTTTAATATAAATGTGAAATAGCTTGGTTTCATCTACACTAATAAAAGAGAAATATGCAAATTGACTGTGCCTCCACAACACCTACCAGCCAATTAGGAGCGAGTATGCAAATCAACCCAACAAAGATGGTGGGTTAATTTGCATTTCCAGGTGCCAAGTGGTCATGTGGGGCAGGATGCCTGCTGTGAAAAGGGTAAGAGGAGGAGGGAGCTACAGCACCAGCAGCTCTGGCCGGAGCGAAGGCCTGGGTCCCAGGTGCCAGAAGAAAATTGGTGCTGGCAGCCAGAGGAAGGAAGGTCTGTTCTTGCACAAATCTTTGTGCAACGTGCCTTTAGTATATTATAGGTGTTCTTTGTTGCAAGTGGTTTAGTTATCCTATGGTGGGGAGATACATATAACTAATTTTCTGTTTTGTTTTATACCAGAAAGTAGGAATCTATGGGATAGGTGAGCCTGGAAATCTTTTGCTCAAGTGCTCTTTATTAAAACACACACACACACTTTAAAAATTACTGTTGTTTTTATAAAGCTGTAAATTGGCAGTTTTAATTAAGATATTTGTTAATCTAAGTAATGACATTCAATTAAGTGAAATGCAGATATTCATACAATGCTTTGTGAAATACAAATATTCAAACAATATGAGGTATTTTAGCTTGTCAACCCTTCAATTAGTCAATATTTGAGTACTTTCTCCTACTATGGAATTTATGAGTGTTTTAATCTTCAAACTTTTTCACAGTTGCTTCCAAAGTTTCCATGGTATTTTTTCTTGCCTTTTTTTCAGTTGTTTCAACATTTTTATTTGAGTATTTATGTTAAAAAATAATTTTTTAAAACAGTTTTTTAAATGGCCCTAATGGTTTGGCTCAGTGAATAGAGCATTGGCCTGAGGACTGAAGGGTCCCAGGTTCAATTCCAGTCAAGGGCATGTACCTTGGTTGTGGGCACATCCCCAATAGAAGATGTGCAGGAGGCAGCTGATCAATGTTTCTAACTCTCTATTCCTCTCCCTTCCTCTCTGTAAAAATCAATAGAATATATTTAAAACAAATTTTTTTTAAATGAAAGAAAATCTGTATGTCAATTGTAATTGGGGGAAAAAATCAAAGACAAACTTTTGCAAAAAATATGTACGTACGTACATAAGTATGTACGTGTGTGTGTGTGTGTGTGTGTGTGTGTGTGTGTGTGTATCAGAAAGGAAGGGAGAGAGAACCATTGATCAGCTGCCTCCGCATGCTCCATATTGGGGAATTAGCCTGCAACCCAGGCATGTGCCTTGGCTGTCAATCAGAAGGTGGCTTCTGGTTCATAGGTAGACATGCAGCCACTGAACAACACCAGCTGCGCAAAACTTTTTTCCCTTTAAAATTCTGAGGACTTTGTGTTTTGTTTTAATGTTTTATTGACTGACTGATTGCTATTTTAATTTTAGAAAGATAGAGAAAGAGGTATAGAGACAGAGAGAGACATTGATTTGTTGTTCCACATATTCATGCATTCATTGGTTGACTTTTGTATGTGCCCTGATAGAGATTGAACCAGAAACCTTGGCACATTGGGTTAACATTCTAACCAACTGAGCTATTGGGCAAAGGCTTTGTTTTGTTTATTAAATATCTCATTTACAACTTGTTAGCATGATTTAATTTGAATCGTAAATTTTTCAAAGCTGTTTTCCTATAAATAATTATGAATTTTTAGTAGTTCTTTGAAGTGAGAAGCCATAGGCAACTTTGTTAGCCTATTTTGAGTTATTTTTATTTTATTGTGAATATTCACATTTAATTTTTTAAAATATATTTTTATTGATTTTTTTACAGAGAGGAAGGGAGAGAGATAGAGAGCTAGAAACGTCGATGAGAGAGAAACACCGACCAGCTGCCTCTTGCACACCCCATACCAGGGATGTGCCCGCAACCAACGTACATGCCCCTGACCAGAATTGAACCTAGGACCTTTCAGTCCGTAGACCATGCTCTACCACTGAGCCAAACCGGTTTCGGCCACATTTAATTTTTAAAAGAACTTTATCATCCTACATTTTATATTTTGGTTGTCCATCAAAATTGGGGGAAATGTTGCTGTCTATTCACATATGAATTGAGCACTTACATATAGTTCCTTCCTTTAAAGAGTTTTCCAAATAGCAGATGAAATTATTTATCCATGTAATTACAAGATTATGATATACTTTCCTAATGAGTGACCTAACTGCTACTGAAATGCCCTCCTTTTTATTTTTTTGTGTTAGGGCAAAGAAAAAGGTGATTCCTGCTCCTAAACCCAAAGTAAAGGTAAGTTCTGAGTTAAGTCTTATATTAGTCATAATGATGACTGTTGAAATGCATTCTTATTAATTTAATTAATTAATTGATTGGTTTGTTTTTTAGACACATTTTTATTTATTTTAGAGGGGGGGAGAGACAGAAACATTGATATGGGAGAGAAACATTGATTGCCTCCAGCATGCACCCCGACTAAGGATTTATCCCAAAACCCAGGTATGGGCCCTGACCAGGAATTAAACCAGTGACTTTTGGTGCATGAGACAATGCCCAATCAACTAAGCCGCTCTAGCCAAGGCTTTTTTTGTTCTTAAAAGTGAGGCAGAGCCACTGGACAGATTTGGTCATCCCACCAGTTATTATTGATTTTAGAAAGGGAGGAAGAAACATCAGTGTAAGAGAGCCACACCAGCTGTGTGCCTTCTTTAATTTTAGAGGCTCTTTGAATACAGAGCAGGACTGTTCCTTTTTTTTAGTAACCAAACTACTTTGTCTTCTAAATAATATTGAGACAATATTTTATTAGATCTGTTGAGTTCATGCTTTATTTTCACACCCTATTTTTAAACAACTAATACCCTTCATTGAGAGTTTTTAAAAATTTTGATAAATCTGTTTAGATGTGATTAATTTATCAAAACTCTAATAATGGAAGTGTTAGGATACTATAGGAAAGTTACCTGTTTTGTTTGTTTATGATTAAATTACTTTTTCCTTTCCCCAAAATGGAAAACTATATTGCTGATGTTTCCCCCAATCCTGCCATCCCTCAGATATCTGTTTTAGTTAGAGAGGTACTATAAGGACACACTTGCATTAGAATATGCAAACAGTAGCGAAAAGTAAGAAAGAGAAAAGTAGAAATTTCTGTATCTTTGCCCCTACTTCATCTCCTTCCATCTATCTTTCCAACCATTCATTTATCCAGATTGAGTTAACATTTTGTGTCAGTGGGATAACCTGCTTTTTTTACACAAGTGTACGTCCTGAACAATTTTTCTGCCGATGTAAATCTCCACAGTACAGTGGATTTGTTACTGTTTTTTAACTTTATTTGTTGATTTTTGGAGAGAGAGAATGGAGAGAAAGAGAGAAACATTGATTTGCCATTCCACTTATGAATTCATTGATTGCTTCTTGTATGTGGCCTGATTGAACCAGAAACATTGGCATATCAGGACGACAATCTAACCAATGAGCTACTCGTTCTGGGCCTGATTTATTTTTATTGTTTGTTTTTTTGGGTTTTTTAAACCCTCCCCCAAGGATATATTTACCAATCTGAGAGAGAGAGAAAGCAGTGATTGGTAGCTCTTGTATGCGCCCCAACCTTAACCAAACTGGCAACCTAGGTATATACCCTGACTGAGATCGAACCTGGGACCTTTCAATATATGGGATGAAGCTCCATCCAATTGAGCCATACTGACCAGGGCCTGGTTTGTTAATTTTATAAAGAAAAAATATTAATAAGGTTATTTAAAACAGCAGTTTTAGCCCTAGCCGATTTGGCTCAGTGGCTAGTGTGTCGACCTGCGGACTGAAGGATCCCAGGTTCAATCATGCTCAGGTTGCAGGCTCCATTCCCAGTGAGGGGCGTGCAGGAGGCAGCCAGTCAGTGATTCTTTCTCATCATTGATGTTTCTATCTCTCTCTTCTTTTCCTCTCCAAAATCAATACAAATATATATTTTTTTAAAACACCAGCAATTTTATACTGGTAACACTGCCAATATTATTCTGATACACTCCCCTACCCACAGGTTTTGTACCTTTTATTATAATGTAATTTTTTACTAATTGTGTAATTATATGGGAGGCCAAAGTGAACATGTCACATCTGCATTAGCCATTCATGCTAACAAACAATTTTGATCTTAATGCACTTACCATGCAGACTTCTGAGAGGCAGGGAGGTTTTCAGTCATGGCTTTTAGAACAGAAACTTAGAAAAGTTGCTCAGCACTTTAGAGTGCAACAGCATTCTTAACAGCCTGTTTACTGTAGTACCTTAGAAGGTGATGGTAAAGACCCTTCCTCTCCATTCTTTCCCACTATGGTTAAGGTAAGTGTTGTGATCATATAAATTAATATATAATGTAAGACCTTGGGCATAGGTTTGTTTTTGTTCTTTTTAATCATCACCCAAGGAGAGAGGATATTTTTCCCATGATTTTAGAGAGTGTGGAGGGAAGGGGATGAGAGGGGAGAGGAAAAGAGAGACATTGATGTCACAGAGATGCATCGATTGGTTGCCTCTCTATGCTTTTTAAAATAAATTGGTTTTTAACGTCTCTAAAGAGTTACAATAGAATTTTAGTAATCACGAGAACTTCTTAGTCTTTTAAAAATCATCACTTGTAACTTTTATTAATCATTGTATTTTTTTCTAATACAATGCTGTTTATTCTAGGAGTGTAGTCCAAAAAAGGACCAGAAAACTCCTGCATCCTTGGTGGCTTCAATTGGTGGTCCTTCAAGTTCCGTCATATCTGCCATGGCCTCCACCAGCTCTAGCTCTACTCCAGTCCAGGAGACGATCTGCCTTGACGACTCACTAGATGAAGACCTTTCTTTCCACCCACCGGCACTGGATCTTGTTTCGGAAGCTTTAGCTGTTATCAACAATGGCAACAAGGGCCCTCCAGCTGGCTCAAGGATAAGCATGCCAACTGCAAAACCTCGTCCAGGACTGAGAGAAGAAAAATTAGCAAGTATAATGAGTAAGCTGCCACTGGCTACTCCCAAAAAACTAGATTCTGCTCAGACTGCACATTCATCTAGTCTTATTGCTGGTCACACAGGGCCAGTACCAAAGAAACCCCAGGATTTAGCTCATACTGGCATCTCTTCAGGCCTTATTGCTGGTTCTTCAATTCAGAACCCTAAAGTTTCCTTAGAACCTTTGCCAGCCAGGCTACTTCAACAAGGACTACAGAGGTCAAGCCAGATTCACGCTTCTTCCTCCTCACAGTCCCACGTCTCCTCTTCTTCCCAAGCCCAAGTTGCTGCCTCCTCTCATGCTCTGGGAACATCAGAGGCCCAAGATGCTTCTTCAGTAACACAAGTAACAAAGGTGCACCAGCATTCAGCTGTCCAACAAAATTATGTGTCTCCACTGCAAGCAACCATTAGTAAATCACAGAGCAACCCAGTGGTGAAATTAAGTAATAATCCCCAGCTTTCCTGTTCGTCCCCACTTGTTAAGACTTCAGATAAGTCACTTATGTACCGCCTTCCCTTACCTACTCCCTCACCTGGAAATGGTTCTCAAGGGTCCCACTCCCTGGTTTCTAGGACAGTACCTAGCACCACTACCTCCAGTAACTACTTAGCTAAGGCTATGGTGTCACAAATCTCCACGCAGGGTTTCAAATCTCCCTTCTCAATGGCTGCATCCCCAAAACTTGCCGCATCTCCCAAACCTGCCACATCCCCTAAACCTTTGCCCTCACCTAAGCCTTCGGCCTCACCCAAGCCCTCTCTGTCAGCTAAGCCTTCAGTATCAACTAAACTTATTTCCAAATCCAACCCTACTCCCAAGCCTACTGTATCCTCAAGTTCTTCCAGTCCAAGTGCACTAGTGTCCCAGAGTAGCCACTCCAGCAGTAACAACCCAGTCCATAAACAACCCAGTGGAATAAACATCAGCAGACAGTCTCCCACCTTGAATTTATTGCCCTCTAATCGCACTTCAGGCCTTTCGTCTACAAAAAATCTTCAGGCCTCATCAAAGCTACCAAACTCATCATCCACTGGAACTGTTGGGAAGAATAGCTTGAGTGGAATTGCAGTGAATGCACCTGCCAGCAGAGGTAGCAACCTTAACTCAAGCGGAGCTAATAGGACTAGTCTGTCTGGGGGAACAGGAGGTGGAACACAGGGTGCTACTAAACCGTTGTCTACTCCACATAGACCATCCTCTGCCTCAGGGTCTTCAGTGGTAACAGCCAGTGTGCAGGTATGTATGTTATATTCATTCATGGGATAAAATGTATTAGTGTATAACCTTTCCTTATTATAATATATAGGTTGTTTGTAATAGCCAAATAGCCTGTAGTTTATTGCCAAGGAATGTTCCTAATGTGGACATCACAGTGATTGGGATACTTGGGGGTGAGATTTTTGTTGGAACGTGGATTTTATTTATTTTTCATTCAAATAATACATGCTCACTTTCAAAAATGTCGAAAGACATAACTAAAATGCATATTTAAAACTACCTTATTAAAGTCCAGAACAATCTAGTAACTTAGGAATTTAACATACTTTCACTTGTCTCCTTTGGTACTCCATTATAGTCCCCTTTCTCCTGCCAACTGTCTTATTTAATCAAATTTATACATGCATGCTATTTTTTTTTTCTTTAACCTGTCTTTTTTAATAAAATTTTTATTTTGCAATTATTCATTTATAATTCTCTGTCAAATTAGTATCACAATACTTTTACACCAAAGCTTCCCTATTAGCTCTCAGTTAATAGGAGCACCTCCCTCAAAGAATATTTTCTAAAAGGCTGAAATGAAAGCTATTTTACCTTAGCTCTTACATATCTGGTCATTTCTGTGCTCTCACAGTTGAATAGTTACAGATTTCTTGGGTCACTAACTGTCTCACTTCAAATTTTGTAAATATTGCTCCACTGACCCTCTGTATTTAGGATTATAGAAGAATATGAGGGTATCCTTTCAGTGATGTGTTTTCTCTGCCGAAATGCTAGTGAGATTTTTTCTCTTTTGTTGAAATTCAAGTGTTTACAGACTTTGGCTTCGTTTATGTTGTTTTCAGTAACTCCGTGACTTCAATTTCAAACCTGGCTATCTTTTTTTCAGCTCAAGAATATTTCATTTGATTACATGTGATAATTATTTCTGACCCATTTGGCCTAGAATTTTTGAAAGCTCTTTATTACTCATGTATTTCATCTCTCTGCCTTCCATATCATCTCTGTTATTGTTTCCATCTATATCCCACTTTGTATTCTGAGACTTTCACATTACTGACTTAGTTTCTTTAATACATCACCACCACACTGGAAAGAAATACATGCTCACTGTAGGCAAATTCAAAAAATTAAATAAAAATCACCCATTATTCCGTCACTTTATTCCTGGTACTTTTTTAAGAAAGTGCATTTTACATAATATTCTGTTTCATACTAAGCTTTTTAAAAATGTGACATTTTATGATATGTTCTTAGGTTCTTAAATATTCTTTGAAAACATGACTTTTATTGATTTATAGAATTCTGTTCTCTTAACAAAATGCTCTAACTTTATTCTGTGTCCTGGTTATGTGGAATATGAACTTATAATGAAAGAATTTTCCCCTTGGAGTTCATAGAGGTTTTCTGCTATTCAGTACAAGCTAAGCATTGGTATTCAATGTACACTTAAAACCAAAATCGTCACTGCCATTTCTGTAGGCTTAGAAATGAATTGATTCCAGAATTCTAATAGAGAACAAAATTTAGTTAACTGATATTTTATGAATTAGAAACTAGGATTTATTGATGTTTTATATAATTTTACTTTTAATCAGAAATATGAAGTAACACTAAAAACAATCTGATTAGGGTTTGTATGTTAAAATCTAAGTTATAATTTAAATCTGCACGTTAGTCCACATTTCTGTTTGTATTACCTTTATTAAAATGCTGACTTTTTCAAATCTTTAATTTGATCAAAGGAATATTTGAAAGGATTATAATAGAAATGGCAGTTCCCTACTCCATATCCTCCTGCTTGCTACTTTTAACTCTCTTTGCTTTTTCTCTGGGATTTTAAATAAGAATGAATGAGAGACTCTTAATTTATTTTTTTAGTATTGTCTTTGACTTCTCATTATGATAAATGAGGCTCTTAGGTCCCTTATATTTGTTCTATTCTCCTGAAAGAGTAAAATGACAACTTTTGGTAAAATCCATGACTATGTAAAATATTGTCTCTTTTTTTTTTTTTTAATATATTTTATTGATTTTTTACAGAGAGGAACGGAGAGGGATAGAGAGTTAGAAACATGGATGAGAGATCGATCAACTGCCTCTTGCATACCCCCTACTGGGGATGTGCCCGCAACCAAGTTACATGCCTTTGACCGGAATCAAACCTGGGACCTTTCAGTCTTCAGGCCGATGCTCTGAGCCAAACCGGTTGGGGCAAATATTGTCTCTTTTGAGCTAAATATCTCACATGATGGTTTCATTTGCTTTCTTATTATATTTTGGGTTTTTCCTTGGAGTTAAAAAAATTTTTTTTTCCACTTGTTTTGTTTTCTCTGATTTAACATTAAATCTTTATCATTTGTCATCTCCAGAATCTAGCAGTTTTATTCTCCCCACCCCCCCACCCACCCCTCAAGGAATCCTTCTTGCAATCATTTACGCTAAAAGAACACAGATACTTGGTATACCAGTTATTTATCACTTAGTTTCTCAGCATGAACTTACATGACAAAATTTGTGTTTCTAAAATGTACTCCCTCTGGTTTTCTTCCTCTCCAAAATGACTTTATGATTTGGAGACCTTAGTGTTCCTGCCTTCATATCCAATCCTTTTTGTTCACTTCTTACTGGTTTTACTGAAGAAAAAAGGTCAATAATTAAATAAGGTTGCTTCTAACTTTTAGTGACAAGGGTTTTTTGTGTGTGTGTTTTTGTTTTGTTTTTTTAATATAGCATCTCACTGAAATCTTATCAGCTACTTGTGGCTTCTTGATCCTCTCAAGTACTCTCAACACTAAAAACAGATTTCCTATCTGTGCTACAAAGTATTTAATTCCTGTCTGAAATATATCATCAGCTGTGTACTCATTTGCAGAGTGAAAGTGACAGGTCTTGAGTTTAACAGAAGTTAAAATCTTTCTGGGTTCAGATTATGACCTCTACCTGCTTTTTATTGGATAATTTTCCTCTCAACGTATTCCTCTTCTTTCTTGCCCTTCAACGTATTGATTTTTCTGTGAATCCTGTCCTTGCCACTTGAGAATTCTGAAAATAATTGCTTTGTTAAGCAAATGCTTACTAAGTGTTTAATATGTGCCAGGCACTGTTCTAGGTGCTGGGGAAACAGGGTGAACATTCATATTCAAATCCCCTTCTCTTTATGGGGCATGTACAGTATTTTAGGTAGGAAAATAAAACACAACTTTTAAAAACGTGAAGTGTTAATGAAAAATAAAATGGAATAATATTATAAAGTGTGATTGTTGTTAACATGGATTAGGGAGTTGAGGATGGCCTCTTTGAGGAGGCAACATTTAAGTTGAGAATTGAATGAGCAGGATTCAGCCTTTGGAAATAAGAGGGAACAAATAATTCAGGCAAAGTGGGTGGTGGGTGTGAAGACAGGAAAGAACAGGCCTGTAGATCTGTATAAGACGCGTAGACCTGCATGGCGAGACTAGGAAGGGATGGGTAGTGATGAGTTTGGAGTTCCACATTACCATGTGATGAAGCACCTTGTGGGCCATGATAAAGACTGGAATTTATTCTGTGTGCAGTGGAAGCTATTGGAGGGTCTTTTACAGGGAGGGCAGTGGTATGGTCTAATATTTCTAAAGATCACTCTGGATGTTGTAGGGAATGAGGGGGGTGAATACACTTACCAAAATAAAAAACGTGGTTTTAAAAAATAAAAGTAATGCTAACCACAGGAAGAGAGAACAAGGATTCTCTTCATATTTTCCCCTGGGAATGAAATGTGAAGATCATACAAAGTATTTTTGACTGTGGGGTATTATCCTGAGTTGTTTGCCTACTTCAGGTTGACAGCTTCTTCTGTGTGCTTCTGAATGATACCGCTGGTGGGAGACCCACTTTGAAAGGTCTCCGTGTTTTAGGAGAGATAAGTTTATACCCATGTAACATAGATAATCTGATATTTCATTTTAGTTTTATAAACAAAATTAGATACAGAAATGCTGACCGTACAAAAATGTTAGGTACTTATGGCATGACACCATTTTTTATTGCTAATACTCAATTTAATTTTGGAAGTTGCCTTAATTTACATTTTGTATCTATGTTATTGGGGGGTTTTGTTTTTTGGGTCTTTTTTTTTTAAGACAGAGGGGGGGGGGGGAGGGAGAGAGAGAGGTAAATCGGTTGCCTTGAGTACACACCCCAATCCAGGTATGTGCCCTGACCAGGAATCAAATCTGAGACCTTTTGGTGTGTGGGATGATGCTCTAAGCAATTGAGCCACACTGGACAGGGCATTTTCCATAGATTTTAATGCTTCAGTTAGCCTCCTCCAGAAACATAGTTTTCTTTATTAGCAGCAGTTATTTACTATTTCTCACTAGGGGCTCTGTTAGGGTGCTCTGCCTTGAAGTATGTGCCTCCTATTATCCTGAGACTACAATAGAAGTATGACTAAAAAGAAGAAAGAACTGTTGTGAAAAAATAAAATGGAATAATAATATAGTGTGTTGTTAATTCTCAAATTGATGCAGGATCCTTTCTATCTAAATTGCTTCACTTATTATTAGCTTTAACTTAGTAATTCTTTCTTTAATGTGCCCATTTTTTTATATCACGAATTGCCATAATAGAAAGTAAAAAAGATAGTTAATTCCAAGCAGAAAGATAAAGACTTATACTTGAGTGTTGGAGGAAGTTATGGAAACAAAGAATGTGTATGTTGCCCATGAGCTCACCTTGTCCTTTACTTTTTAATGCCTGAAAACTAAGATGTTAAACCTAAGTGGCAGGTAAGAACCAGACTGTTGACGATAGCAGTTAACATAGCAGGTGATGGATGATTTGTTTAGTTGTGGACATGCCAAGTAGGTGAGTGTTAGATATCCAAGTTAGATTCTTCATTGAACTTCTAGATATACAGGATTGAAATTGAGATGAGAGGTCAGGAGTGAGCATATAAATTTGAGAGATTAAAATTAAAGGAGATAAAAAAAAAAAATAAAATAAAATAAAATAAAATTAAATTAAAGGAGATAATGGGAGGGAAAGTTATTGGAGTGAGAGTGGAAAAAACAGAATGGGAAGCTTCTTGAGATTGTCCTTCAATTCATGTGCAGCAGTAGCATGGACCACTAAGTATATACAAGTACTATGTAATGTGGCATGGATGGATGGGAAGATCACCTGTATTACTCTCAAATATTAACTAAGTAAATTGACTCAGCTTTATGAATAATGTTTATTGGCTGAATAATCAACACATAAAATAAGCCTGACAGTGGCTAACATGGAAAATACTTGGTCAGGGAAATTTAGAATTAGTAAAATAAGGCTACAAAAGAAAACAGTTGCAAAAATTATAATAGATAATATTAGGTCTAGTAATAATTAATGTCGTTTTCTAATACTTTTTTAAATCGAATTTATTTAAACAATACAACAAAATTTAATCAACAATATAGTTGCCGTTGTTTTCTACTACCTGTGCCCAACGCTCAGGAAGCATTTTAATCCCTCTGTTGTAAAATTCTTGTGATTTTGATGCAAAAAATTCAGTCAATGCATTTTTGAGGCATTCTTCATTATTAAATTTTTTTCCAAGAAGAAAGTTTTGCAAAGAACGAAACAAATGGTAATCGGAAGGGGCAATATCAGGAGAATATGCAGGTTGAGGGAGAACTTCCCATTCCAACGGCGGTTTTTCAGCAGTGATTCTTGCAGTATGCGGTCGTGCATTATCGTGGTGAAGAATTACGCCCTTCCGATTAATCAGCGCGGGTTCTTTTTCTCTTAAAGCTTGGGCTAACCTTTCCAATTGGGCACTATACACTGCACTTGTAATGGTTTGGTTAGATGGTAAAAGTTCATAATGAAGAATTCCTTTAAAATCCCACCAAACACACAACATCACTTTTTTCGCATGCAAGTCAGGTTTTGGCGTGGGCTGCGGAGCCTCATTTTTGTCCAACCATTGAGGCCGCCTTTTCAAATTAACATACAGCACCCATTGTTCATCTCCGGTAACAATTTGCTCTAAAAACGGCAAACGGTTTTGACGAGAGAGGAGCGAACTGCAAATTGTCACTCTTTGATTACGGTTGTAGTCGGTCAACTCATGAGGAACCCATTTTCCAAACTTTTGGACTTTGCCAAGTGCACGCAATTGATTGGAAATTGTTTTTTGTGAACAATTTAAAGTTGTCGCAAGCTCTTGTTGGGTAATTTGAGGATTTTGCACCAAAAGAGCTTGAAGAGCTTCTTGATCAAAATTGGACACACGGCCTTGATCACTCTTGTCATCTAACGAAAAATTTCCCTCGCGAAATTTCTCAAACCAACGCTGGCATTTTTCTGGTGCTAACTGCATCTTGACCAAGAGCACTACAGATGTTTTTTGCAGCCTCACTTGCTTTTCTTCCTAATTGGAACTCGTAAAGCATGCAGTGCCGAATATGCTCTTCAACCGCCATCTTCTTAGCCCTAGTTTTGCAACAAAAACCAAACCAAACACAAACTTTTTCAAGCAAAACTTGTTAATTGCACTTCACACGTTCTGTAGATACCACATGTTTGAAGGTTATGTCAATACAAGTCAACGCCAAGCAAGATTTTAAACGAATGTTTAGAAACGACATTAATTATTACTAGACCCGATATACTGAAAAAAGCTTATAATCTTTGTTGATAAATTCACATAGAAAAGAAGTCAAATGGGAAAAGTTATTTAATTCCTGTATAGAAAATTGTTCAAAGAATTAAATTAGCTTAATGAAGTATATGTAAGTAATTGTTCAATGAAAGTTCATCAGTGTTAGCATATTTGGCATATTTTTTATTTCAATGTTTTTATTCATAAACAGCATTAAAACCCAGGTGGGGCCCCTGCTGGTGTTGCTCAGTGGTTGAATGTCAACCTATGAACCAAGAGATCCATGGTTCAATTTCTAGTCACATGCCCCGGTTGCAGGATCTCCAATAGAGGGCGTGGAGGAGGCAGCTGATCAATGATTTCTCTCTTCCTTGACATTTCTATCTCTCCCTCGCCCTTCCTTTCTGAAATCAATAAAAATATATTTAAAAAACAAAGAAACAGGGGAGTGTCAAAACACCCTCTAATTTGCCTTTACCTTAAGTAGTTTAAACTCAGAAAAGTAGTAGAGAGATGCAAACAAACTTACAGGGAGTAAGGAGAGACTAGATAATGTGGAAAGAGGAGGCTGTCATTCAGTAAGTTTGAGGATAAAAGGAATATAAATAAGTCAGGTGGTTTCTAGAGTTGAAGAAGAGCCAGGAATAAGTGGTTATAAAAAGAGATGAGTCCTGGCTGGTTTAGCTCAGATGGAGTGTCAGCTTTTGAACTGAAGGGTCCCAGCCTTCAATTCCGGTCAAGGTCACATACTTCAGTTATGGGCCCAATCCCCAGTAGGGGCGGTGCGGGAGGCAACTGATTGATGATGTTCCTCTCTCATCAATGTTTCTATTTCTGTCCTTCCCCCTTCTTCTCTCTCTCTCTCTCTAGAGAGAGAGAGAGAGAGAGAGAGAGAGAGAGGAGAATTCTCTATATGTGAGAAGGCAGAGGAAACATGGAAAAAGTGCAAATACTAGATTATTTGTACCGGAAGTTCTACATTGATGGGATTCATGGAATAGGCCAGTTCATACCTAGGTCATAGCTTTTGGAGAAGAGGCAGGTGAGGCTGATGAGGAAGAACATCCCAGGTGGTCTCATCTCTTCAAGATGCTAGGATGAAAATAAAGGATACAGAGTTAGGGCCTCTGAGAGAATAATAATAGTCTGTAGCAGCAACTACAAAGACTATGCCAGGAAAGAGTATAAGACAAATAGCAAAGGGACCAAGCAATTTCAGAGACCACATTGAAATTGGTTCAGATCCAGGGGAATCTAAGGTTGGAAGTGAATGGATTGAGAGGGTGAATGGGTGTTAATATAGGCAATAAAATAAGGACGAGTCTAAACGTGATGAAGAGTTGAGTATAGGATTACTTACAAAACCAATATTGGTAGCTCTTTGAATTATATTGTTCACCTCTGTCTTCATTGCTATATCAAAGTTTCTGTTAGAGCAAATATAAAACATAGTCTTGTGCCCATGAGAATATTAAATAAATCAATTCAGGTTAAAGATTTTATTTCTTATGTATTTTGACCCCTGGTTTCTGCAGTCCACAGCAGGAGCATCATTATTGGCTAATGCCTCACCTCTGACTCTCATGACATCACCTTTGTCTGTAACAAATCAAAATGTGACTCCTTTTGGGATGCTGGGTGGCCTTGTTCCAGTGACCATGCCCTTCCAGTTTCCCTTGGAGCTACTTGGCTTTGGAACGGACACAGCTGGCGTGACAACCACCTCGGGATCTACCTCAGCCGCTCTCCACCATAGCTTAACTCAGAGTAAGTGGGGCCCTTTGTTTATTTGGCTGCCTAGTTTGGCAGAATAGGAAACAATTATTATACTCATTATACCAGTTGGACTTGTGTAGATTATAGAATTAAAAAAAAAAAGAAAGAAAGAAAGAAATGCAATGTATTTAATCTAAGTATAATCAAACTACTGGACTCTGAGATTTTATTTATAATTTTTAAATGAACCACTATACCACATTTCTAAATGAAATTTATAATAAGAGGAAGTCAGATTTGCTGAGTGTTTGCATTCACAATACATTTATATATGTAAAATTTTTAACATGTATGTACTCTAACTTAAGAAGGCCTTTGAAGTCAGGGCTGTGCTTACATTAGATAAATTAAACTATTTTCATTTTTGCTCTCAGAGGGCTCAACCAGATTTAAGAAGATCACTGACAAATCTGTTTTCCTCTCAGATTTACTAAAGGGTTTACAGCCAGGAGTTCAGCATGCAGCAACACTTTCCCACTCACCTCTGCCTACACATTTACAGCAAACATTTAATGGTAAGAAAGCCACCTCTTTTTCACCTCTTTGTTGTTTATATAGCTATATAGATTGGACTGGACTTTTTTTTCTGAAAACCTGTGAATGAAATACAAAGGTTGAAAAAACAACAGACTTTCCTATGACTGAATCCTCATTAGCAACAAACTCCTTTTAAGAGAATGGAAATAAGTAAAATGAAATCCCTTGTTACATGTGAAGAGAGTGGTTTTGAAAGTGTTATAGGGAAGTGATGTCAAAGAAGAGGGTTCATAAGGCAATGTGCAAAAGTCATATCCAGTAATTGTAATAGTTTATATTTATGGGAAGCTTACCAAGTGCCAGTTAATCTTGTGACCACTTACATGTATTAGCTAATTTAATCTTTACCACAAGCCTGTGAATGAGATAGCAATCTCCATTTTATAGAGATGACCAGCTTGCCCAAGGTGATACACTGAAGTGTTTGATTTGAGCTACAGATCTAGGAAGTCTGACTCCACAGACAGCTCTTAGTCATTAAACTTTGTAGTCCTTAAATTAATATCATCTAAACTCTATACATTATATCCTTGCAGCACAGCGGTATCTTTCTAAAATTAGGTGGTAGACACTGGACATACACATCAGCCTCCAGCAGTTGACCTAAGTTTACTGTTGATAGTATTCGGAGGCCATTTTGAGGATCTTTTGAACAGAAATAATTGCTCATCTGCCCTCTTTGAAGTTGACTGGGGCTTCACTATTCTCTTTGGCCACTGCATTTCATATTATCTTTGAACAAGTGTTCAGTTGGTCAACACGTAGAAATGAAAGCTATGTAGCAATTTCAAAGCAACAAGTTGTAATGAATCTTGTAACAGACCTACATGGTAAGAATGAATATAAAATCACTGTTGTATAAATAGGGGACACAAAATAGGCACAGATTCAGCAATTCTAAGCTTCCTGAATTAGGTTTTAATGCTTAAGGAAAGTTGCCCTGTGACTAAAGCAGTTGCTGATATAATGAGTTCAGTTTAGAGCTGTAAGGAATGAGACAAACAGGAACCTCATGGTTCAATATGACCCAGTAATCCAGCTTTTATATGAACTTTCTTGTTGTCTGAGCAGCACCACTCTTCCAGAGGGAGAAAGGAAAGTTTACATTTTTTTTTATTTTAAAGACATTTAAAAGTATAAAACACCAAATTTGAGAATTAGGCTTTGATTTTTGAATCGTAAGACTGTCACTCAGAGCAACTTTCTTAACTTGGTTGACCATCACTTTCTCTTGCTTGTAAACTGGGGACAAGAAGATGTTTTTAATAGGCTTCTTATGAGAACTTAATAAAAATAATTTAAGGCTTTTAGTATAGTGCCTTATACATAGTAAGAGTTCAGTTCATTAATGTCAATTCTCTTACTTTAAAGACAGAGATCAGTAAGCTTTTTTCTATAAAGGCCCAAATAATAAATACTTAGGCTTTGCAGGCCATTTAGTCTCTATCACAACTACTCAACTCTATAGTGTAGTGAAAATAGCCATACACAATATCTAATGTGAGTATGGCTGGGTTCCAGTGCAACTTTAGTTATAAAAAGACAAACAAACAAAAAAGAGGTGGTGGCCAGGTTTGGCCCTGGGGGAAGGTCTTCCTCTAAAGACTCTCAGAGGCCACTTAATATGAGTATTTTATTTTGCTAATTAGCCGAAGCTGCTTTGAGCAAAATTCCACCTTGCCATTTATTAATTTAATTATGCCTGAAGTTAAATCATTTTTCTCTACAAATGAAAGTATATAATATATCAATGAAAAAGCCAGTTTCTTAGATGTTGTCACCAAACTTATTTTAATAGTATTCTGTTTATACAGCTTTTGAAATAATCATCATATTTTGTTGATACATCTTTTCTTTAGTAGAGGCATTTTTTGGTTTGTGTTTTACCAGAGTAATTTAGATATCACATGAGTGGACCTAGCAATATGACTTTTGTGCTCTCCTCCAGCCTTACATTTGTTATTGTAGTACAATATTTTATTCTTCTCACCTGTATTTCTGCCACACCTCCCTGTTTTTTCTGTTAATCTTATCTGGTGGGGGTGGGGAGGTGTCTTATTCCTTGTTAAGGTAGTGACCTGTTAGAGACTGCCTTTATATTTTTTTGGATTTCTAAGTCACTGGGTCCAACACTTACCCAGTTTAAATTTTTTTGGTAAAAGTTAAATAGCCATATGTAGAATTACAAACCCTTGTTCCTAGTAGCAGACTTTCTGGTTAGTTCAACTTTCACAGGTTAGGGCCCAAAAAAAAAAAAAAGATCAGCTGGATTTTTCATTACCAGTGTGCCCCCTCATTTACATAAGTAATTGTGAATTTTCAAATGTCATGGCAAGAAATTTAACTTTACTTGCAAAAGAATGAAAATGACCTTGTCTTCTAAATGAATCTATATGGTATGTCCCTTGAAGGTGGAGATTATGGGATTATGTTTTATGATCCTTTATAATCCTCACAACATTCAGCATATTATCTGTGAGGTGTGTATATATACACACATACACTAGAGGCCTAGTGCATAAAATTCATGCACGAGGGGGTGTCCCCCTTAGCCTAGCCTGCACCCTCTCCAATCTGGGACATCCCTCTCACAATCCAGGACTGCTGGCTCCCAACTGCTTGCCTGCCTGCCTTCCTGATTGCCCCTAACCGCTTCACCCCCTAACCACTCCCCTGACACCCTGATTGATGCCTAACTGCTTCCCTGCCAGCCTGATTGCTGTCTAGCTGCCCTCCCCTGCAGGCCTGGTCCATCCCAACTGCCCTCCCCTGCTGGCCATCTTGTGGTGGTCATCTTGTGTTCACATTGGGACAGCCAACTGGTGTCCACATAGGGGTAGACATCTTGTGTTTTGGAGTGACGGTCAATTTGCATATTACTCTTTTTTTAAAAATATATATATATTTTATTGATTTTTCAGAGAGGAAGAGAGGGGGATAGAGAGTTAGAAACATCGATGAGAGAGAATCATCGATCAGCTGCCTCTTGCACACCACTCACTGGGGATGTGCCCGCAACCAAGGTACATGCCCTTGTCTGGAATCGAACCCATGACCTTTCAGTCCGCAGGCCGATGCTCTATCCACTGAGCCAAACCAGTCCTGGCTGCATATTACTCTTATATAGGATGGAGGCCTGGTGCACAGGTGAGGGTCAGCTGGTTTGCCCTGAAGGGTGTCCCAGATCAGGGTGGGGTTTCCCTTGGGGCATGGGGTGGCTTGGGGGAGGGGCCTGTGGTGGTTTGCAGGCTGTTCACGCCCCCCAGTGGCCCAAGCAGAGGCCCTGGTATCTGAGATTTATTTATCTTCCATAATTAAAACCTTGTAGCCTTGAGTGGAGGCCTGGATAGGCCAGGAAACTTCCCTTCCTTCATTGCCAGGGAAACCCAAGCCTCCCGCTTGTTCTGTGGCCGCAGCCATTTTTGTTGGGATTTATTTATCCTCTATAATTGAAACTTTATAGCCTTGAGTGGAGGCCAGGGCTGGCCAGTGTGTGTGGGAAGCTTGACTTCCTCCATTGCCAAGGAAACTCAAGCCTCTTGCTCACTCTGTGGCTGCAGCCATCTTGGTTGGGATAATTTGCATACTCCTGCTTGGTTGGTGGGTGTGGCTTGTGGGCGGAGCAGAGATACGGTCAATTTGCATGTTTCTCTTTTATTAGTGTAGATAAGCCTAAGTGACCGCCCAACCATTTGACGTCTGACCAGTAGCTGTGTCGCACAGTGACCACTGAGAGGCAGCCACTCGACATAAGAGCTACGGTGATTGGCAGCTGTGATTCTTGGGTGATGCACCCAGAACCAGAGAGGAGGAAGCCCAATTCTAGGGTGCATCACCCAACAACCATCCTTTTGCAATCTGGGACCCCTTTGGGGATGTCAGAGAGCCTGTTTTGCCTTGATCCCTGTTGGCCAGGCCAAGGGACCCCACCTGCTGGAGGGACCCTGCTCACTCTGCAGATGCACTTCAAACCCTGGCACTGCCCCAGGTGCAGCCAGCTGGGGAGGGATGGAGGGAGGTTGGCTTCAGGATGTGTCTGGCCACCTCACCCAGTCCTGCCCCACCAGCCACTTTATAATTAATTTCCTTTCAATGTGCACAAATCCTTGCACTTGGCCTCTAGTAATAAATACTTGTTGAGATAGTATTTGTAGGATGCTGAATACCTATGAAACCACAGTCATTTGAGATAAGAGAATCATTCTTGTTGAGTTTTTATCTCCTTTATGTTTTCTCAGCCTCTGTAAAGCTATATATAGCATGTTAGATGTTAAAGGTTATCTATTTAGCAGTGTAATCCATAAAAAAATTACAAGTTATTCTTTTTGCCTTGCTTCTTAAATCTATTTTTAATACCATGCCTTCCCATACCGATTAAACATCTCTTTTCTTAGATGGAGGCCAAAGTAAAGGGGACACTAAATTACCACGGAAATCTCAGTGACTTCCCAACAAGCAAAGGAGATGAGACACTCAGCTGGCTGATGGAATCTACCTGATGGGAAAGTACTCATGTGGTCATAGGGCTGCTGTTCTGTCGATGTTTACATTCTCTCGTCCCAAGCACTGTGGTGAGGAGGAAAAAGGAAAGAAAACATTACTTGAGTTAAAACCAGGTGCAGGAGGAAGAAATGCTTTCTTGCAAAGTTGGTGACCTTTGGTCTCTTCTAAAGAAAGACAAAGTTACCATATTATCTGAATTGAAAGAGACTCAGTTGTCAAACCCACAGAAGTACAAATTTCTTTTTCTCCCTGAGGGAGGAAGAAGGAAAATTGAGGATTTGGGTGAACTCCATCCATCCTGGGGGTTGGATCTGAACACTTATAGTCATAATTGCATAATAAAAGGCAGTATATCTGGAATTAGGTCAGTTTGTCAGGAGTAAGGATCATGTCTATTTAAGTGGACTATGGAGCAAATTTGCCATACAAAAATAATAATAATAATAATAATAATGACTTTATGTCTGATACAGACCATAGAAAATACTATACCCTCAAAAATCCTGAACAAACTTGAATCTTCCCCAGTGTGTAGCAACTCCCCATGTGAATCAGTGGACTAAAGATGCTTCAGGAAAGTTATTTAGCACAGTGATATGTATTATTAAATCATCCAAATTTTTAAAAATCATGAAATTGGTCCTGTTGCTCTTAACAGACGAAACTTAGATGTCCCCTTTTTATAAAAGGGTCAATTTCATCTTCCTTTCAGAAGCAGGTACTTAACTCTCTTCAGGTGATTTGTGCATCTGGTATTGACTTGTTAATTCTTATTTCCATTCTTGATGTTAAAATGTGACTGTTCACATTTTTCTCTTGAGAAATGGGGATCTTTGCTGTAGGGCTGCGGCTTTGATGCTCTTAGCCCTTGCAGGTCTACACTATGAACTAATTTCTCCAACTTCACCTCAGTTCACAACTTCTGTTCTGTTAGCTAAGTGGTACTTCAGGTGACTATTAAATATTGATATAAACAGGTATAAGAGTGTACTACATATGCCTCTGCATTGGTCATTCAAATAGCATATATATGTATATTTTTGGAATTTTCAAGATAGTATTTTAAAGGGAGAAATTACATTAGAATCATGTGTGTACAAGGGATTATTTTTTATAAAAATCACAGTGTATTTTTACTCCCTGTATCCAGTATAGTGAAATTGATTAGGATCATTTCTGAATATTGACATGTGAGTAAATCTGCAGATAACACTCCGTATTTATCATGGCATCCTCATGCAAATAACATTCAACAGAGGACATTAAGGAGGAAATTTATGGTTTTAATTGGATACTTTTTTTTTTACACCTCATCAGTCTAGCCTTTCTTTTATTTCTCCCTTTTTTTTCCTTCCTGTTTAAGCTTCTAACTGTTTTCAAAGTGTAACCAAGAATGGTGTAAACTTGGTCCATTTTTAATGATAAACTAACCTAAACAGCATCAGATTGATAGATGCAACATTTCTTGTGTATATTTTCATTACAAATCACCTTATATTGTCAAGTTTATTCAAATAAAGAGTATTAACCAGGCCCTTTTTTTCCTTTTATAAGAAAAAGTTCCAAATAGCCTGTAGGGACTGTGAATAAATTACTGCAGATCTGTTCAGATCTGTAGACTTATATTTGAACTCCAAGTCAGATTGGCTGGCTTCACAGCAAAAAGTTAATAAGTAACTGAAACCTTCAGATCCAAGAACTTGTTACAGTAAGAGCAACAGATTATTTCAAAGGAATCATTGATAAAATTCCTTGCATCTAAGAATTTAGATTACCAGTAAAACAAATCAGAATATTGCATCAGCCCTGGTAGATATTTTGGGAGGATATTGGGATGTTGCATAGAGGTTTGACTTGAATTGAGTATGTTTGATTAAAAAATTTTTTTTTTTTTTAATTATGCAAGGTTACCCAATTCTTGAGTTATTCCAATGTAGCATACCTCTTTTATCTAACTTTTATCTAATTTTGGGGGGAAACATCTTTGCTAATGCTATGTAGGAGTTTTCCTTTGAGAAGCTAGCCTTTGTTTTACTTCCCATACCAGGAGGGAAGTCAGAGTGCGTATTAATCTCTTCCTGCTGATAATTGTGCATGTACTCATTTGTGTGTGTGTGTGTGTGTGTGTGTGTGTACATGCGTGTGCACACGCGCGTGCGTACATATATTTATTCATATATAACTTCATTACTATTTTAAGTCAAGAAAAAATTTTAATTTCTTTTTTTAAAATATATTTTATTGATTTTTTACAGAGAGGAGGAGAGAGGGATAGAGAGCTAGAAACGTCAATGAGAGAGAAACATCGACCGGCTGCCTCCTGCACACCCCCTACTGGGGATGTGCCCGCAACCAATGTACATGCCCTTGACCGGAATCGAACCTGGTACCCTTCAGTCCGCAGACTAACGCTCTACCACTGAGCCAAACCAGTTTTGGCTAATAATTTTAATTTCTTAATAACTCCATCATCAGTTCTGAATTATGCCTTGTGAGGATCCCTGGTGATTCTGCTGTCATTGGAGAAGAGGATTATCAGTTCTTCCCCAGTATCATTGTATAACTAACCATTAAAAGTAATCTGAAGGCCCTTGGCTATGAGAAGTCTGCATATATGGAGATTCTGTTCTGTTCTCTTCAGTCTTGGTACCTTGGGAACTGCTTGCCAGACCCCTCCTTATCCTTCCCTCCTCTGCACCCCCGTTTTCCCTAGCATATGTCCATTGCAATCATTCTACCCTTTTTTTATGTTAAACAAGTGAAACACACATCCTTATATTTCTTAATAGATAAGTATGATCAGCGAATTTCTACATGTAAAAACTTTCTTTTCTAGATCGTAACATTGAAAATGATGTCCATATTTATGGTCAGCTATCTTTACAGTTTTCTTACTTAAAAACAAACATATAAATTGGTTATTTTTAGGACAGAGACTTGTGACTCATAGTATATTTTTGCATTTATTTTTTAAAATTGTGAGTTATTAAAAAGGATATAGAGCAATGTGTGTTTCTGAAGAGCATTAATAACATCCCAATGCAAAAGTAATCAGCACACTTAATTACATCCCATTCGGCGGGATTCTTAAATCAGGAAAAATAAGCTGTTTGTTTTCACTTCTCTTATATTTTAAATTGCCTTCACTGATGTATAAGCTATTACTGTACATACAAATTAATCCTCAGTATTCACAAGCAATAATGTTCGGCAGAGTTGTCTTCAGAGAGAGCAGTGCTGAGCCCCCGTTGGAGACTGTTTGGGAGCAAAGCGTTAAGCTCATTCAGAGCCTCCAAAGTCACTGCAAGCAATAATGCCATTACAAGTCTATTATAATTCTTGCTCCTGTGTTTCTGAAATTGAAGGTTAAGAGAAATCGTGGTTTTAAAACAGCCTAAAAAAAAGGTTTTGGAAAAAGAAGTGAGCTTAATCTGAAGTCACAAAGTCCTGATGGTGTATTAGTACATTCTTTCATGCCTACCCCCCCCCCTTTGATGGATGTTGTTAGCCCAAATAACATTTTATATCATAGAAGTTGAATAGGATTATTATATTGCCAAGGTAGGAGAAAGGTCTGGGCACATGCATGTTTAAATACTGTGGGTTTGACACCTGTTTGAAAAAAAACTTATTGAACAAGAGTTTTAACCCAGAATTTTTTTTTCTCCCAAAGCAGATCTAAATTGCTTACTGCCCAGGGTTGGAAAGGGCAGACGCTTCTAGTCTTGCTCCTCTGGTTGCCCTCTACCACACCCCTTTCCACCTCTACTTGGTTCAAGACATGTTCTGAAATCGAAATTCTGCTGTTTTTCAAACTGCCATTGATTGTGAGAACTCTCTGTCCCGGTGATCATCTCTTAGAACTCCAGTTCTCTATCATGTTTGCTGCTACGTTTGTAGAATGAACTTTGCCTGTATTGGTTGACTTTCACCTAATTTACAGTTCTTTATTTCTTGAAGGTTATGTCTTATCATTTGACCCATGTATAGAATTAGGATACTTTATTTTAGGAGTATACCATAAAAGAATACTGGTTCCTGTATTCTTTTTATCTTCACTTAGGCTTTGAATTTGAGTTTGCTTGTTTTAAATTAGAAATAGAAGAGTGATAAAACCTATAATCAGGCCAAATTCAAAAAGTTCCTGTGTTTCAGCACTGTAGTTTTTGCTGACCTTCCATTCTCAGATGGGGCACTTTTACTTTATATTATGCATGTTTTATTATGTTTGTTTTGTTGTTTTTGCTTTTGGGGGTTTTGTTTCTGTAATAATGAAGCAGAAGGAAAATGCAGTAGTAGGTAAATGACTGGTTACAAACATGCAATTTTATTTTATAAAATCTAAGGGAAAAGTTTAACTCTCTGTAAATCATTTTTTAGCTCTGGTAAAATGCTTATATTGCTCCTCTAAAACATGCTTAATTCAGGCCTTTCTCTTTTTTAAGTGCCTTTTTTTCTCTCCCCCTTCCCCTCCTTTCAAACTGTTCTCATATACCCTGAAGTACAGGCTAATAAGTCAGGGGATTCAGGAGGAAGAATCTCAAACTTGCCAACTTCATGTCATGCTGTACCGTTCTTCCTTTTCTTTATGTGTATATGGATATATGTATAAGATACATACATACATACATATTGTGTATATATGTATACATATGTAATATATATATAAAACTAGTAGCTGCTGTACCATTGCATCCTTTCTGAACACTTCCCTGTCAGTGTTTGCAAGATTTCTGCCTGTTTATTCCACTGCTTTTAGTCAATTCAAATGGATGGACTGGGAAATTGTCTTTCCCCCTTGGAGTGTGAGTGTGTGTGTGTGTGTGTGTGTGTGTGTGTGTGTGTGTGTGTGTAGTCATTACAAATAAAATAAATTTAGCCAACTCATTGACTATTCCTGGGTTTAACCTACTGCTTTATGCCCTTCAAACTTGGCATGAGTAATACTGGAGAAAGCATTGGAGTAACAAGTCTTTAGTGGGTCAACTCAATAAGGTGCACTGTGGCAGGCAAACAGCCATGGGGGAGCTGGAGTTAGAATCATGGTGTTGTATCTGAATAAGTTTTCAAGGAAGTTAGCAAATGTGTCAGCATTGAAACTGCATCGAACTATCTTTGGGAAAATTCTTTTTGGAGAATTCATATAGCTATTTTGCGTATCTGTCAAAGGTTAATAAATTTAGAAGTAGAAAGACTTCAGATGCTGGGGAAAACACTCATATAACCTTTGGCTTAATCTGTTTTTATGGTTATTTAAACCCCTCCCTTGAGTAAAATAACATAATTTTCAGCACCTAAGATTCTTTTTTGTTGAAAACATATTTGACATGCTAAGGGAGACTAAGTTGAACCAATCCTCAAAACCCAGTACAAATATCTAATAAGTGCTCCCTTTTAAATACATTTTAATTGGGAAGAGAAGACCAGTGGCTAAAAGGAGAAAGCAGAGGCTCCTGGTAGTGTTACCTGATAGCAACACTGTTATTAGGCACCTCTGTTTAGTCATGTTACTCTTGGATTGCTATATTAGGGGGAATGTCATTTAACCTTCGTGCCTCAGATTACCCATTAGAATATTGGGTATAATAATATTCACCTACCTCCCAGGGATATCAGAGACTTTACTATTTCAAAAATACTTTGAGTTTTTCTAAAATGTCTTATATAATTAAAAAAGTATTATAATCGTCCTGCAGAGGCTAAAGAATGGGTATAAAACGCACCATTTAATTTTAAGTTTAAAAATAAATCACTGGAATTCTAATTAAGATACATATTTGTTATTTAAGTATATTATATTTGTGGTGGGGTAAAATGGGTACTTTCTGTTTAGTAAGGGGGGAGGAGGGAAGTAACACTTTGTTTCTTAATCATATGTAGATTTTTTTTTTTTTAGCCTTTTATGGTATTATTTATTACAGGTGTGATTTTTGTCAAGGTTTCAGAGCTGAAGCTAGGTAAAATTTAGATGGTTTGTCATTGGAGTTGATTCCGAAAGTTTTATCTGCCTCACTTTTCCATCTTCTCCATCTAATTTTCTTATATTAGTTGTTTGGTGATGCATAGCAAAGCATTTAACTATCTAGGAAAGAATGGGAGTCTCCTCATTCTTGTAAACTGGAGATAGTGTACTATTCCTGTAACTATAGGTTTACCCATCTTTGCACCGAAGGGGCAAGCACTACACACAGTCAGCAGGGTACACTTCTAGTCAGTTTACCTTTTAACTTATGCTTCTTCAACCCATGAAAGAGTTGGAGCCATTAGTGTTCAAGTTGTAGGAAAATGGGAGTGGAAAGGCAGGATTCACTTCCTAGCTGGGGCAGGGTTGGGAGGCTGGGGGTAGAAGGAAACATGGTTTGCCCATCTCTGAAGAGGAAAGGAAGATCTTTTTATCCTACCTTCTTTACATAGAATTTTCCTTTTATCATTTAAAACAACAGGAAAAATGGATGCTGCATATCTAGTTAGGAATAAATGCTGAGCAACAACTACTGGGGGTTGAGTGCTGATTTAAATTGTGGCACATGTTCGGGATTAGCAAAGAACATGTCGGGAGATGGGAACAAATTGTCTAGCTCAAGTGAGTCAGGAGAAAGCAGCAGGCCCAAGTAGACAAAGCACTGGGCTGATGCCCAGAACTGGCCAAGGCTCATTTAACCTCTGGTGTTAGGACGTTTTTATTGCTTTTTGCAGAGAAGGCCTTTGTAGCTTCTGAGTATCAACTATGCAGATAAATATACTCTTTATTTTACACATTTCTTCTTCTCCATTCTTTAAATAACAGATGTTAAGACTTCTATCCAAAGAAATAAGGCATTAAGGTTTTGTTGAATGTGTATCTGTTCCGCTAGAGAAAATTAACAGGAGCATAAAATAAGAGAGATTTTTTTTGTTCTTCTATCCTAAAATGTGAATCTTATATTAAAAAATTAAGTGCACATCCTTTCACTGGTGCAAAACTTAGAATCATGGATTACCATTGGGTTGTTAAGATACATCATCCCAGCATTCAATTCTGAGAGACGATCTAGGTTCTGCAGCATAGTGTTCAGGTTTGAAGAGCTGAACAGATTGTCTGACTCTAATTAAAAATAGCTTTGAATATTAATGTTGAATTCTTCTTTATTTCCTTTAGTTTTCATTCTTCTTTCTTTTAATTTGAGCTCTTAAGTTAACCATTTCGTCAACCAGTAGCTACACTGGAATATTGCGTATTTTGAAGAGTCTGGGGAGGAAAGGTTAACCTGTCTTTCACTTCCTTTTCCCACTCACTTGGCTGTCTGTTCTGTGTCCCATTGAATTCAGAAGTAAAGACTATAGTCATGTTCCAGGAGACTGTTCACATCCCAACAGACTCAGAGAGAGACTAGGGTTCTATTCATACTGCCTTTGAATAACTTGACATTAAATTGCCTTTTTCTTAGACACTCCCAAAGTACCATTTGCTTGAAAGTAACTATTTGTGGTCTTTAATGTCCTCATACTGTAATACTTCTACTTCACTTCTCAATCTTTCTTACATATTTTCAGTTTATAACAGATTAATACTTAAGTTTCTGACACTTTTCCGAACTGTTAACCAAACAGGTCAAGGATACTTTCATAAGTCTTAGTAGTGTAATTGATGGGGTCTATATTTCTAGGAATTAGAATTATCACTGGTAACCAGAATTTTTTCTCTCTTCTCCTTTGTATTAAAAAATAATTTCTCTACTACATAATGTAGTAGCTACAATTCATGGCTTCTCTGGATGCTTTCAAGGTTGTTCAGAAGAGACACAGGCCTTTGTTAGGGGCTTAGTTCTCATAATTCTCTGGCTAGCTTTTTTTCATACTTCCCTGGGGAGAAAACCTACTTTGCAAATAGTTAAGTCATACAGGTCATATGAATCCTTAGTACGGATTTTATGTGTTTCAGAAAACTACATTATTTGCTCCCATTTTGCTAATACTAATATAATTTCTAGAGGCCCAGTGCACAGATTTGTACACCAGTGGGGTGTCCCTCAGCCTGGCCTTCGGGATCGGGCCAAAACCAGCTCTCCAACATCCCCTGAGGGGTCCCAGATTGCGAGAGGGCACAGGCCAGGCCAAGGGACCCAACTGGTCCATGGTTGGGGTCGGGGAGGGATGCCAGAGGTTGACCAACTGGGGAGGGACAGTGGAAGGGCTCCATGGCATGTCTAGCCCTTCTCACTCAGTCCCCATCAGCAGGATCCCAGCAGCAAGCTAACCTACCAGTCGGAGCGTCTGCCCCCTGGTGGTCAGTGCAAATCATAGTGAGCGGTTGAGCGGCCTTAGCATATCAGCATATTAGGTTTTGATTGGTTAAACAGATGACCAGACACTTAGCATATTAAGCTTTTATTATGTAGAATTTTATCTTAAATCTAGTGTTAAAATATTTTATAATGGAGCATTAATGGAAACCTAATTAAATTCAAACAAGATACTATAACTCAATGTAACTCGGAAATACTTCAATTTTTGAAGTCAGCAGCTCCATTCAGCTTCTAAGCACATTTAGGAGTTAGTAGTAACCAAGACCAGCTGTTGGTATGTTTTTCTATTTGACAACCTGCCCTTGATTTATCAGACCTCAGCTGTCTTGTATTTTTCTGTCCTTGCAGTTATAACCTCATGTTTATTGTTTGTTTTGTTTTCTTGCTTATCTCTGCTGCTTGCAAGGGTATTGTGCTCTGCCAGCACATGGGGTTTTCTTTCCCATACCTGCAAAATTATCAAGGATTATCCCAATTCTGGCTAGAGGCATTAAAAGAGTTTTTCTCAATTAACAAAGGTATTACTGTTTTATATAGTTAGTTAGAAAGTTGGTTGCGTTCAGCCAACTCTTAAAGTCCTGGCTCTGCCTACATAATTAATTACATATACCTTCTGAGACCTTCAGATACACAAAGGGCCCTTCCACCAGTAGAGGTGGGGTCCATGGCCAGCCTCCAGAGAACGGACTAAAGCTTGGTACTGTCCTTTGTTGGCTGTCACGGAAAAATTGTATTATAGGAAGTATCAAAAATATAAATTGTTTTTAAGGAGAGTAGGCAGACCTAAAGCTTGCCATGTGTTTTGCTTGCTAAACATTGTCAAGCTTAAAAGAGGAGGAAAAGAAATCTCTGGCTGGCGAAAATTTTGTGCCCCAAATAATGTGTTAATGTCCACCACGGTAACGAAGTGATGGGAGTTTTATCCCTTTTTTATAAACAAAGTTTATTGTAGTCATAAAAATTATTGTGGGACTGCAGATCTATTTGCTGATTGGAAATAAGGATTCTGAATTTTGGTCTGGCTAAGCACATATTTCCAACTTTTACACTATAAATTTTGATAAGGGAAAGACTTTTGTTTGTTAACAGAAGGAAAAACAGGACTTAACTTATACAGTGAATGTTCACTCCGTAGAGGAATTTCCCTCCAGTTACATCATCTTCCTCTTACTGTAGCCACCTCCACACCTGTTACAGACGGCCAGCATGTTTCACAGCCATCTTGAAGGAAGGAGCCTGAATAATTGCTCCTTTGAGGGAAAGGCACTGCTTATCGTATCACGAGTATTTACAGGGAGGTGCGTTTATACTAACTTGAAGGGATATACTGTATTTTAAATAAGTGTGTGACTTAATACTTTGGGATTATTTTTCTTCCTTTAAAACTGGACCTGAACAAAGCTTTGAGTTGATATTTGTAATAATCTCAGGACCTGAAAGATTGTAGCATTTAGTGTGTCTTAAAAATTATGTACTGTACCAGCCATGGATTTTTGTAAATATACCTGTCTCCCTTTTTTGTATTATTTTAGTAAAAAATAATAAATTTAAATAAAAGGGGATAGTGATGACATGTGAATGGGTGTGGTATGTATGTGTGTGTGTTTGTATAAGGCTCTTTTGAGATGAACTGGTGCTTGTTTAATTTCCAGCTCTAATCAGAGCAGGAATATGGACAACTGCTGCTACTGTACTCTGCACTGAGCCTAGGAATTTCCATTTTATCTTTCCCAATGGTTGATTAAAAACGAGCTACCAGGAAATTACTAATAACTTTAATTCCTCCCACTGCCGTCTTGCTCTGTATTCTGAGTTCTGCAATGGTAAAGCTTTCCAATCTTTGGGGGGTTCACTGGTCTCTAGTTTTTAGAGAACTCTTGTCACTATTTTCTAAGAAGAAAGAAGGACAGATACATTTTTTAACCAAAATCACACATTTCATAAAACCCTGATGAGTTATGGATATGTGAGAGGGCTTAAACATTCCTGAATACGAATCTTTGAATTTGGTAAATTAACCCCATGGATATACTCCTTCAGTGCAGGGGAATTTTTTTTTTTTCTTTTTTTGCAACAGCCTTGCTCATATTCCAGATGTAGCTTGCGAACCCCTGTTTTAAAGCAGGAGCCTTATTTGATTTAGTGTAGATGTTTCCTGTCAATCCTTTGTGACAGGGCCTTTTACATGAGTGGTTTTTTCTTTTTGTATGTGTTATGTGTTTATTGTATTAAATAAAGAGGAATGTGCATATTATTCTTGTGTCTGTTGTATTATTGGGCTAACTTGGATTTTAACATCTTATTCTTTCAGTAGTTGAGTGTCTGCTGTCTGTATCTCACTGCACTAGACACTATGGGAAACAGAAGTAAAGTACACAGTCCCCACCCTCAGTATATTGACAGTTTACGATCACATGACAGGTTAAAAGATGCCAGTTCAAAGTTTGTCACAAAGTTGTGGTCCATTGCCACCTGACATTTAGTTCAGAGCAAGGGAGAAATTAGACTAGAGAGACTTGGGAAGACTCGCTAGTGAATGATAGTTGGGCTGGGCCTCTGAAGATAGTTGGGATTTGGCTAGGGAGAAGGAAAAGGGAGTGTCCCGAGTGGACAGGATGAAGCAGGAAGTAGACCAGACTGGTATGAGGTATACATGGGGATTAGTAGCAGCCAGATTGAGGGAGTCCTGGAATGCAGGACTTGGGGTTATGGGGTGTGTGTGTGTGTGTGTGTGTGTGTGTGTGTGTGTTTCAGGATGCTACCAGGGTCAAGGTTTGAAATGTAGACATGGGAATTATCTGCAAAAGTGACCATGTTTTAAAGCCTTACTTATAGAACACTTCTAGGAACAGAATTGCTAAGAAAAAAAGAGTAGGAAAAAAAAAAATTTCAGCCTCAGAAACCTAATTAGGGAATGGAAAAATGGGTAAAGAGCTAGAAAGCAACTTGTCAGGAATTGAAAAGTTTGTAATTTACAAGTGCATATAGAAAAGTAGCAGTAGTATGAATGATTTTTATTTTTCCTTTCACTTAAGTGTGTTTCAAGTGCGTTGTCCTCAAGATGAAGAATTTTGAAAAGCCATGGGTCCTCATGCATAGGGGAAAGAATAGGCTACAAATGCCTTTATTAGAAAAAATAATGTTTAAGGACAGTTTTGCGAAAGTGTGTTCTTGGGAGTAGTAGTCCTTTAAGAAAAGTATGCTTAAGTAATTTGACTACACTTAACTATGTTGTCGCCATCTTATAAACGTATTTCACTTTTATTTATTTATTTATTTATTTTTATCCTCACTTGAGGTTATTTTTTCCATTGATTTTTTTTTAGAGTTGAAGGGAGAGAAAGACACACATCTATTGGTTGCTTCCCATGTTCCCCAGACTGGGGCTGGACCAGGAATCTGCAGGCCGACACTGTAACCACTGTGATAAACTGGCCATTGCTATATTAACATTTTCAAAGGGCCATTGTTAAACAAGATTTTTTTTAACCTGTAATTTCCCCTTATTTGTCCCTGGGGCGCCTTTTTATTATCACTCATACTAGTTCTGTTTTATCATATTTATTTTAAGATACATTTTTTTAAAATACATTTTTATTGATTTTGTACAGAGAGGAAGGGAGAGTTAGAAACATCGATGAGAGAGTCATCGATCAGCTGCCTCTTGCACACACCCTACTGGGGATATGCCCGCAACCAAGGTTCATGTCCTTGTCTGGAATCGAACCCGGGACCTTTCAGTCCCCAAGCCGACGTTCTATCCCACATGTGTCAAACACAAGGCTCGCGGGCCAAATCCGTCCCGCCAGGCCTTGCAATGTGGCCCGCACCGCGCTGTCATCACTGCACTCCGCTGTGTTTCCATCACAATGACAGTTTATGACTGTTCAGTAAACCATTCGGCCCGCGATTTAGGCTGGATTTTAGATTTTGGCCCCTTCTCTGATTGAGTTCGACACCCCTATTCTATCCATTGAGCCAAACCGGTTTCGGCTTAGACATTTTTAAAAGAAAAACTATGGCTCAAGGAGTTAAGGATTTCAAGAAGTAAGCAGGTAGAGAAGTGCAACCAATTCGGGAGAGTTTAATGAAGACCAGGTATCCAAAATGTGAGTTTGTTCTAAGAGTATAGAAAAATATATGAAGTGGGAGTTATGTTTTACACTTGACCACGTAGGCAGGAAATGTGTCAGACCTGAGTTTTGGCACAGGGAAATAACTGCTTTTACAAAATTTTTATAAGAGGAACATGGACTTGTACAAAGGTTTCTGAATAAGAACATTCATCTCAATGTTGCTCATAACAGTAAAAGTTTGAAACAATCTAATGCTGTGTTAGAGGGATTGGTTCAGTAAATAAAAATATTAAATAAATTTTAAGGTAAGACCAAGATGTGCATGTATTAAATGAAGGAGCAGTTGGAAATGAAAGTACATCTAGGCACAGGAAAACATTTAGGGCATACACTCCAGAACAATAAAGTTGTGTTCTATTTAATTGTATTTTCAATGAATGTGAGCAAACATTAGTAAGTTCTCTAGTGTTTATTTTGGGGTTTTTTTTGTGTGTGTGTTTTTGTTGTTGTTTTAATCCTCACTCGAGGATATTTTTCCATTGATTTTTAGAGAGTGGAAGAGAGAAGGAAAGGCAGAGAGAAATATATTGATTGGTTGTCTCCTGTAGGCGCCCTGACCAGGGCCTGAGCTGGGGAGGAGCCTGTAACCAAGGCACATGCCCTTGACTGGAATCGAACCCGGTAACCTTTGGTCCTTAGGCTGATGCTCTATTCACTGAGCCAAACTGGCTAGATCAGTTCTTTGAGTGTTGTTTTTGTTTTGTTTTGGCTTTGGGTTTTGGGGTTGTTTTTTTTTAAGAAACAGGTGGACTTGGTTGAAGAGAGGAAGAAAGAAATGGGAAGAAAACATCTCATCACTGGGAGTAGCGAAAAAATTTTATTCCACTCAGACCCTACTGGTTCCCAAAATGGGATCTGGCTTGGAGGTCAAAATACAATGAACTGCTTGTTTTAAAATCATGAATTTTTGGAAAACATTATTATTGCACTTAGTTTAAAAAAACACGAAGTCCATACAAAGCATTTATTTCCTACCCATGGTCCCAATTTTCCTTCCCCAGAGCAACCACAGTTACCAATTTCTCCAGTTCTAATTATAAATATTTATGTGACTTTTAAGCATAAATTTAACATACATATCTCTCATACTATACCTAGCATTTCTTCCAAAAAAAATTTTTTAGAGTATGTTTTTATTGATTTTTTAGAGACAGAGGAAGGGAGAGAGATAGAAACTTCATAAATCGGCTGCCGCCTACATGCCTCCCATCAAGGATCAAGCCCGCATCCCGGGCATGTGCCCCGACTGGGAATCAAACCCGTGACTTCTTGGTTCATGGATTGACACTCAACCATTGAGCCACACAGGCCAGTCTCTTCCAATTTTCTTGGAGATTATTCCACATCAGCACCTAAAAGTCTCTCTTATTTTTTTTTTTTTATAGCTCATGGTATTCCATAGTTGAGGTATCATGACAATTTATTGTATTCATTCTTGATTGATGTGCATTTGGATTACCATCACAAGTCAAACTAATATTTTTTCTGTATTTATAGTCTGTGAATGCATATCAAGCAGACAGAAGTTCGTTTTGGCAGCCTATCTTATAAAAGTAATATGCAAATTAACCACTCTAACACACAAGATGACTGCCCCCATGTCAACACAAGATGGCCAGCAGGGGAGGGCATTTGGGAGGGACCAGGCTTGCAAGTGGAGGCAGTTGGGGCTGATCAAGCCTGCAGGGGAGGGCAGTTAGGGGTGACCAAGTCGGCAGAGAAGGGAAGTTGGTGGCGACCAGGCCTGCAGGGGAGGGCAGTTGGGGAAGACCCAAGCCTGCAGGGAAGGGCAGTTGAGGGGGGGGGGGGGGAGCCAGGCCTGCAGGGGAGGGCAGTTAGGGACAATCAGGTTGGCAGGGAAGCAGTTAGGCAGCAATCGGGCTGGCAGGGGAGTGGTTAGGGGGTGATCAGGCTGTCAGGCAGAAGTGGTTAGGGGCAATCAGGAAGGCAAGCAGGCAAGCATTTGGGAGCCAGCAGTCCTGGATTGTGAGAGGGATGTCTGACTGTCCATTTAGGCCCGATCCAGGTAGGATCGGGCCTAAATGGGCAGTAGGACATCCACTGAGGGGTCCCAGATTGGAGAGGGTGCAGGCTGGGCTGAGGGACACACACCCTGTGCATGAATTTTGTGCACCGGGCCTCTAGTAGATAATAACGACCTAACAGATTTGAAAGTCTTATCTAGAATCTGTGATTGCTTCATATCCCTGTAAGCTTTAAGAAATAAATGAGAACATAAATATTTTACTTAAGAGTTTTGAAAATGGGAGATGAAAGCACAAGAGCTGATTCTGGGTGCACTAAGGGTTGAGTTCCATGAGCTTTAAAGTGATATCATGAGCTTTAAAAGGGACAAACCCCTCCGGTGCAGATATACTCTGGTCTGTCATGAGTGTCCTTAGCTCAAAAACAATCGCTCTTCCTCACCAATATGTGCCTCGGCATGGCCTGCTTTTACTGTCTGTGTATTTACCTGTTCTGTGTCCCTGTGTCTGTCCCTCCACCACTTGCCCATCTTTTCTAGTAGGGTGGCATAGCGTGAAGGGAACAGGTTAACATTAAAGACTGGAGTTCACGTGATTCTGTGGCACTTCAGACAAAATATCAGCCTCTTTTCTCATTTCTCCATGGTAACACCCAATGGCGGGCTTCTTGTCGAATTAGTGACATGTATGAAAAGCACCTAGCATAGTGCCTAGCATATAGAGATCATAAACGGTGGCTACTATTCTTCTACTTTCTGCCTTTTTCCTTCTTAAATTCATGCTTCCTTTTGCTCTCCTAATTTCCCCAAATATCTAAGAGAAACCACAGTGTTTTTATTTTTTGCTTTTTATTTTAATTTTAATTTTTTTTTCTTTTTCACAGTGTTTTTTAAAATCTTTACACAGCCGAAACCGGTTTGGCTCAATGGATAGAGCTTCGGCTTGGGGACTGAAAGATCCCGGGTTCGATTCCGGTCAAGGGCATGTACCTTGGTTGCGGCATATCCCCAGTAGGGGGTGTGCAAGAGGCAGCTGATCGATGACTCTCTCTCATCGATGTTTCTAACTCTCTGTCTCTCTCCCTTCCTCTCTGTACAAAATCAATAAAATATATTTTAAAAAATAAAAATCTT